TACTCCCAGAAAAACCTCCGGAGGGAAACTTCTTCATCAGAAGAACCTCCTCTGCAGTTTCACTCTAATTGTGAACTGGAGCAACTCTTATTTTTTCTCTGGTTGAGCTTCATGATGTCAGATGTGCAGGAAACCTTTGTGGATTTCTTTAACAAGTATTTATAGTAATATGTATGTATTTGGTGAACCAAATGCATTCAAGAAAGTATGTGAAATCACTAGGAAAGATCAGATCATAATGCTGGTTTGATTCTTGTTGCATTCTGCAGTTTTGCCTCTAGAGGGCACAAGATTATTATTATTATAAAGTTTATTTGATAGGGACAGACACATCGACATAGACAAACTGAATAAAACCACAGTCCCATGTTTGCATCATGGTGCAATAGCAACAGCTAATTCGCAGCGCTTGTCCCTAGTTGATCCTGAATAACGGGTGGAGAGAAATTGAAGAAAATCAGGATTTCTCTGAAAGGATCAAATTCAACAATTTAAATAAAAATACATCTTGTTTAATGCTGCAGCTATAATAATTAGTTTAGTTATTGATTATTCTGACGTTTTAATCAAAATTTTAAAGAAGAATTGGCACGTTCTGCTGATTTTTAATTTAACCACTGAAGCCTTTTATACAAAATTATAAATGTTAAAAGATGGAAATTCCTTTTTTTAAATAAGGAATTTAAAAAAATTCCTTATTTTTTTAAATAAGGAATATTTAAAAATTGCTAAATGGCAATTTTAGGCCATTTAGCAATGGCCTAAAATTGCTGCATTTTAGGCCATTGCTGCAGTCCTTTAGCGAACATTTGTAGCAGAGGATGAATCTGCAGCTTAATAAATCTCATAACGTCAATAAAAGTTCAACTCTTTATGCCAGACTTGACATCAACAGTGCCGGACTGGCCACCAAAATGTGCTTGTAAATGCATTTAAGTAGTAGTTACTTATTTAACTGTAAAATTTAAAGTAGTTTGTTTTGTTTTGAAATCTGGGCTCTTATTTTGGTAATATTACCATTAGAGGAAGTGAATTCAACTGTAGAAAACAAAGATGGTGAAAGAAGGAAGTGTTGAAGTCATGGCAGAAGGCGCAAGGTACATCAGTTTAATTTGTTTAGGGTGTTTATGAATGTGTGCAGGATTAATGAAAGTAAAGTTAAAAGTTTGTTTTGAGAAGCGAACCTGTGGTTGCCATGCCAACAGCTGGTTGTCGCAGTTTAGCATTTGTGTTAAACTGGTATAAAAGACAGTTTTTACATCAATTAATGGTATTTATCTAGATTTTTTCACTTTAGAATGACCTAAAGTCGCACTAAAGTGAACTTTTTGTGTATCTAAGAGGAAAAGTTGCTTTTTATTCATTTTCTTTTAGCTCTTACAGTGTTCAACACACAATTGTTTGAACCACCAGTGCAAGTGACCATTATTCAACCATGAATGCTTCAGTGCTTAATAGATTTTATTTTTGTTTTATTTCACTGAATCTGAACCTGGAAAAACCGCAGAACGGATTTAAAATAATTGTTAAATCTTAAATGCAGAATGTTGCTTATTACAGTTTTGTCTGAGGATGGTGTTTAAGAAAATGTTGTTTTTTTTGTTCTTTTAGAGGCCGTTTCTTTCAGTTAACGATTCATTCCTGAATTAGTTGGTAATCAATCGATTAATTGTGATTATTCATAGTTGCTCGTGATGAATGGCTCAGGCTGAGAGCCTCTCACAGGAGCCACATGTGGCAGCCTGTAAACATCAGGATGGAGGGCAGCCATGTTGGCCCCCGTAGGGGAGCGAGTAATGACAGAGCCAGGCCGCAGCGGCGCAGAACCCGGTGCCGATCGGAGGTTCTGGCAGCCTGCTGGACTGCTGGTGTGCGTTTGTGGAGTTTCCATTTCGCAGCTCACCAAGCTCTCGATGAGTCACTCTGAAGGAAATGAATGGCTTTAAGATGGCCGGGCTCTTCTCTCTCTCCGCCTCCATCTTGTTCACATCTTTTACTCGGTTTCCAACCCGATTCAGTTTCCGGCTCTGCTGAGGCTCGGGACCGGTTCTGATAATCCAAACCGGGTGTTCCTCCAGCTCTCAGCCTCAGATGTTCAGCATTATCTGTTGCTTTTTGTTTGTTTGTAATGAGACGACAGAAAACTGGGAGCCAGATCCTACTTTGACCGGTTTAATGTGGTTCCTTTAAAGGGCCGGTGTTAGGATTTCCAGGCACAGAGTCATTTTATATAACCGGCAAATAAATATGTTGGCTTCAGTTGTAATAAAAACACTATATATGTAATAATTATTATTTAGAAAGGGACAATATTCAGCTCAAACATTGTCATCATTTGATGTGATTGTAGCTTTTAAGCTAATTTATATCTGCGGTCCATTGACAGGTTATAATGTTGGCCTGTCGCAACAAGCAATCAATTAATCACATAGTTAATTAAAATGACCGCAATATTCATTCCATTTTATTTTTTAAAGGGCAATCAGAGATGTATGTTCATTTTATTTGTTTTTTATTGTTTTGAATATATGAAATGTTTCCCAGTTCCAGTGTAAGAACAGTAAGAGTTCTTTGTAAAATTAAAGTCTGTCTTTGATAGGAGGAACTTGGATTACTAGAAAGTCTCAAAAGCAATATTTATCACAATAATTCTGCAATTATTGTCCAGCAAAATTTGTCATTGAGACAATTTTGACACCTTGAAATTGGGCCTCTGTCTCTTTAAGAAACTCCGCCTCCAGGAAGTCATCCCAACATGGCTCCTCTATTAACCCTTCAGCAACATTTTTACCAGAAGCAGCTCGTATAATGAGCTCAGCAGCTCCACCAGATGTTTGCTAATTGCTGCTGGCTAGCCTGAAGGCGCTGAGGAGGAGCTTCATCCTTGAAGGCGGGGCTAGGTCCACCAAGGCGTTTTGCACAGCTGAATGGTTGCCATGGAGACTTAGGGATTTCTCAAACATGCATGAAAGAATCAAACCAACCCTCCAGGTTTGTTTATGATAAGATAAAAATCTGCAAACTTTTTTATTTTTCATAGCACTGCCGCTTTAATAATCCAACACTTTGGCCTTTAGTTGACTCATATTTAACATGACAGAAATGTTTTGTAGTTGTCTTGGTCATCCATCCATGGTTCGTTCTTTTTTCTCTTTTTTTTTTTTTAACCCAAACTGTTGCTGGCAGATTCTGTGGAAAAAAACAAACGTTTTTCTGTGCCACCAAACGGGCGCGGCCAGCGCGGCGAAGACAATTACAGGAAGCGTATTAAAGTTGATGCAGCAGCGGCGTTTCACCTGACGCCGTGCGAACGATCCTGGAGTTTCACTGCTGCATCCTGTTGATCTGCGGGCCGAACTCGTCAGCGCCGGGCTCTCCGCTGCCTCCCGGGTCTCCTCCGTGTCGGCGCGCGATGCCAGTGGGCTGCAGCGTTTGCGTGTGAACGCCCAGCCGCCAGCCTTCTCTCTCAACCGCAGCTTGATTGCTCCCCCAGCATCAGATTCTCCCGTTTCCACATTTACAAAGCAGCTGCAGCCAAACGTCGTGAAATCTGAAGTTTCACAAGCGCCACATGGGTTTTATTATCATGCGCTCGTCTCTGCTTTTTTTTTTCTTTTACTTTGTTTTTTTACTGTGCTCGTGGAAAAACTGCAGCCATCTTTGATTGGAGCCTGAAAACAACAATGTGTGGAGCCTGAATCAGGTTTTGGGGATTAAAATTGAGTGTTTTCAGATCCAGCAGAGGTGTTTTCAGTCTCAGCCAGAGATTTTCCTGTTAACTTAAACAGAAAGTTTCCAAACGATGCAGCCGAACCTGTTATTAAAAACCTGCGAGCTTCAAAGATTTTCTTTAATTAACTGCAGAAGTTTTTCAGGTTTGAGCAGAACGCTCAAAATGAAAGACAAATATTCCCTCAGAAAAGTATTTACAGTTTAATGAACACCTGCAGAGCCTATTGGGTTTGGATTTTATGCATCATAATGGGGTCCAAACTTGGTTTGTTTGGGCCAAAACTGGTCTGTTTAATCTACTTGCTGGCCACAAAATGCATTAAATACAAAAAAATGAGTTTAATATGATTTTTCTTTTTTCAGTTTTACCTGCTCGATAACGTTTTTATGAAATCTAAAAATCCTTAAAGATCTAAATCATAGACTTTGTCTGCCTTTCCATTTAACACGGAAACAGTCCAATTTCCTACATTTTTATTTTTTTTAGATCTTCCGTTTCTGTTTTGTTTGCCAAATTTTTACCGTTCTTGACTTGCAGTCGCTGTTCTGATCAGATTAATTTCAAGGGCCACACTTTGAGCACCCCTCATGTAACAGATTACCACAGAAAAATGAAAGTTGTGCATTTAAAACAAAAATAAAATCTGAAAAGTGTGGTGTGCTTTTGCAGGTTTCTGATCTCACCTTTGTCTCACTTATAACCACTTTAAAATGTCTTATTAGTGAAAACATCTGCTAATGAATACTTTTTCGTCAACATTAAACCATTCTTGATTTAAAATGAGCTCCTATATTTTGCTGGACAGTTATAAATTTTATCTTTTGACTGTAGGAAGATATTTGTGCTTGGTAACATTTTGTGTTTTTGCAGTGCAGTTACTTTAAAAGGAAAACCTTTTTGGTGGTTTGATGTTCGTAGCTTCCTGGAACCTTAAACCTGCAGTTGGTTCTGCAGAGCGCCGAGTAAATGCCAGTTAACGTCACGTTTTTTTGTGTTTCCGTTTGTACTTTTCATTTCATTTTGCAACCATTTCCTACTGTTGGATAAAATCCCAACAGAACATGTTGGGCTTTGTGATCGTTGGATAAAGTTCAAGTCGTATTTATGCTGTAACTCTGGACTGTCTCGGGAAACATTAACAGGTTCTTATCTTTGCCTTCATTATCTGCAACACCTTCCGTCTGATTTTCCTGTGAAGAATTTCTAAAACTCGACGACCGTCTGAGTCAGAGTGAGTCAGACGGCAGGGAGGAGAAGGAACCGATTCATGCGTGTTTTATGTGAACGCTGCCAGGCGTTAATCTGGGTGTGGACCGTTCCAAATCCAGGACGAGTCGTTGCTTCAGTAGGAGTTTGTTTCGGTCACACGCGCTCCGGCCTCTCCGACGGGTCGAACCCAGTCGGCATCTGTCCCGGTCCGCCTGCCAACACAGAGCCGCGTTCTCCAACATGTGGCTCCGAACGGGTGACCCCTGGCTACAACTATTTACCCCAATCCCACACAATCCCTGTCTTTGTGCTCTTTGTCTCAGAGGAGACAGAAAGCTGCCAGCCTGCAGCGTTTGGATCTGTGTGCAGACGGACCGGTGGAGGAACCAATCGGTTTCTGTTCAGACTCGGAATGATTCAGCCGGGTTGGAGGAAACGTCCTCACTCCGGCCGAACAGTCAGGACACCAACGGCTCAAAAGAACCTGATCTTATGGATTTACTTCACAAAAACCAGTTTAATTTTGCTGCAGCTGCTGTAATCTGCTTCTGTTTAAACATACAGGAGCAGCAAATACCAGTTAGACTCAAAACCCGACCAGTTCAGGGTATTCATCTGGTTAAGCTGCTAATATTCAATAAATTTAAGGGGTGATTTAAATTCAATGATGTTTGGAAAGTGAGAATAATTGTTGTTAAAATCCTTCAACCCTCATGCTTCTGTTCTTATGAGACATTTCTTCAGGAATAACAAATCAATCTGATCAGGATAAATTAAACCAAACCTTTAAATACTTTAAATGTTGCTTCTGTTCTGATAGCTGCAGTTCTCTTTCCAAACAATAGGAGTCGCCACTAATGGCATGAATCTGTTTTTACAACAAATTTACAAATTAAACTTTATAATCTGATTTATCCTGAAAGTAAATGAAAAGATGCAAACATTTATAAATGCAAAATATGCAGCTAATATTGGCTGATTTATACACACAGGTGAAAACCTGAAGTACTCAGGTAAACGGTTACCTTGATGATGAAAAGCTTTCTTTAAATTAATGAGCAGCTTTTACGAACAAAAACCAACAAAAAATAAAACGTGTTGGAAAATGACATGAATATACGTCCCATTAATTTTAATGAGACATAAATTTCCAGTTTCATCTTCATCCCGTCTCTCCTGCTTGTTGTTTTTACTCCTTGATACAATTTAACATTTAACTGGGTAACATGCTTTTCTCCAAATAATTTAATGTAAAACTAAAAAATTTTACATTTATAAACAACTTGAATGCAACATGCAAATTAATTGTACTTGCAGGAAGTCAAGTAAATGTAACTAGTTACTTTCCATTCCGGTGAAAACTCACTGAAGATTATATTTGAATCACATGTTGCATTAAAAATACTTTCTTTTTTTGTTTTCATGTTTATTTTTACAGAATAGGAGAGGAAATCCTTTTAAATGACTTTATGGTCTCATTTTTTTCACATTAGAATAGAGATGTTTAACCGCTAGTAGAGCAAAAACAACTTAAAAATACAGAAAAACTTTCTCTCCCACAATGAAACGACACAGTAAGTGGAAAAAGTAGTTAAATGTTCACATAAGAGCCAAAAACTAATCAAAAGTCCAGGGAAAATCCCCCTTCATTCCAGCAGCTTTACCACCTTTACTATAAACCACGATGGCTTCTGATTGGCTGAGAGATCCAGCCAATCAGCAGGCAGGGAGGAGTGGGACCCACTAAACACAAAACATGGCTCTGGAAACACGTCGACTCAAACACATAAATAAGACGGGCCGGACTGAAGCAGCATTAATAAATCATAATGTCAAATCTTAATGCTTATTTACTGCTTTCTAAAAAATTATGATTAGGCTAAAGTTAAATAAAAGGTTGGATCTCTGGATGTTTCATCAAGTCACTGAAGTCAGATTAGTGCAAAGTAATTATAAACAGATTTTGTTGTTTTTAGTTTAATATATTTTTACCCCTCATCTTAAATATTTGTTTTAGGTTGGTTTGTTCATGATGTACAAACCTTTTTATTTAGCAGCATTCCTCGTTTTATTGTTCAGCTTTTAAAAACCTGTGGATGTTTACAAGGCTGCATTTAAAAAAACATGTTTACAGCTTTTTATGACTTAATATTTCATGATAAAATTTGAGCAGGCACATTTCTGTCCGCCTCAGCTGTTTTCCTTCAGCACGGATCATTTCCTGGTTCTGTCTCAGGGCCCCTGCATTTGTTTGCAGAAGCCCCGTTCTTCCTCAGCCTTCCTCTTCCTCACAGAGCTGCAGTGTTTTACAGAGACATTGGGGAACGTCGGGGAGAACCCGGTCTGCTTTCCACCCGGTGCCGGAGCAGTGAGTCACGGGGAAACTCCCTCCCTCACCAGGATGAGGTGGCTTTAATGGCCAACTGGCCGTTTTGATGGATGTGGGAGGATTTCTGCCAGCAGAGCCGCAGAAAAGAGCGAGGTGCTGAATGTGGGTTTGGGGTTCTGATGTTGAAACAAGTTCCAGAACAGCTTCAGTTAGCAGAACTGCAGCTGGTTCTGTTTTATCAAAGCTTCTTTTTTTTGTTTTTTTAATAAAGGAATCCCCGGTTCTGGAAAAGTGAAACTTTTTTCTCTAATAACTCAGTTTGCAGCAGCAAAGCTTCCTTTGGTTAACGGCTGAAGCATCCGTGGTCGTTAAGGGTTCAATCACACCAGCTGGAGTCCGACTCCAACAAAGTCCGGTTCGATTGGGAAGTGTGAATGTGAACACATGGCATTCTGGGTAAATCCAACCAAAATAAATGTGCTAGCCTAGCGCTTGCAGGAGAAATGACTCTAAAAAAGAGAAATCCTACAACTGCTAAAATGTGACACTCTGTTTTTGTTCATATTTCATAAAGTTGCGCTCGGTTTGGCTTTTTTGTCGTTTCCTTCAGTGGTTTTTAGTACAAAACACAACCGACTATGCTATTTTATCTGTAATAATCATAATTAAAGCTGCACGATGATGGGGAAAATATAAAATCTTGACACCGTTAAACACTTGGACACTTATTTGTTTTTCTGAATATAAATCCCCTCATCACCCTCTGGATGAGCGCTACCATCTAAGCTAGTACGGCTAGCCAATAGCCGTTAGCATTCACTGCAGTAAAGCTCCGTTTTTGCTTAACCACAAAAAAATGCAACATTTTTTTTTTGTGGTTGTTCATACTACTTAAATCAGCTTAATATGATGTAAAATTTCTGTGGTTTTAAAATGTTTTTATTTTTCTCCTCAAAAGTGAAGGAATAACCCAACTAGATGTAATTTAAAAGTTAGAAATACTCCAGTGTTACAGCTGGACATCTTTCCTCAGACTGGATCATTAATGTTCTTCAGAACCAGCAGTCGGGTCGAAGCAGAATGACGAGCCGATTTGATTTGCAAAGCAGCAACAAAACATAAAATGTTGCTAAATTAGTGCAAAGGTCAGACGACCGTTTGTTTCTGTTTCTGCACTGATTGTCTACTGGGTTCATTCAGGGCTGCGCAGACGCGTGTGCGTGCGTGCGTGTGCGCGTGCATATATATATATTATTTCTGCATCCACAGCAACGTGAGCTTACCAGGGCTGACGACTGAGGCCCTGGTTACCACGGCAACAGCACAGCAAAACATGGCTGAAGTGATCAGGATTTCTTTTTTTTTTTCTTTTTTTCTCCCTCCCAGTCTGCGAGGCGGAGTTTGTTTCTTGTTACTGGGATGGACAAAGATGTAGCTGTGAGTCATCCTGGAGGCCGGGAGCCGAGCCAGAGCATTCCTCCTCCTCCTCCTCCCCTTCATCACTCCCTCCTCTTCCTCCTCCCTGTCTCTTTGTCTGCCCTTTTTTTTTCATTTTCCTCCCCTTTTTGCTGTGCGCTGTGAACATTCCCAAACAGCTTTTATTAAAACAGATTTGTTTCTGTTTGTGAACCCAGAATATTCCGCCTCCCCTTCCAGCACAGAGGTCTCCGTGTATCACCAAACATTCTCGCGTTTTTCCACTTTATTCATGCGATCCGAAGAAGTGGGACGCGGTCTGCATGTGTTTGCTCATCTGTTGGGCTGAGACCATATTGGTTTGTCCTCCTGCTGGTTGCAATGGTTGCAATCATTGTGAGATTGTTTGAGAAAAGCTGCAGACTCTTTCCACACAAACTGTCACAGCTTTCACTGCTTCAGCAGAGCAACATGTCAACAGAAACGCAGCTTATTTACGCTGAAATGAAGAAATTCACTGGTTTACAACAGAACACGGATCTGGTTGTTTATAGGAGCAAAAACATGCATTTTTATCTCATCCTGCATAAACATTTCATCACATTTCACCGGTTTATGCTTCCACGGTTACATTTAATTCAGGTAATCTGAATGTATTGCTGTCAAAACGCCCACATTATTACACAAATAAGTTTAAAAGCACACACGGACAAGGATTTAATGCTTCAGCCCGTCTTAAAACGTCTTCGTGGGTTTTGAGGCTTAAATCCTGGAAACGTCAGAAAACACAGAAAAACAAAACCACTGTCTCTTTAAATTACACCGTAGCTGTTATTTTAGTAAATTTAATCGCTTATGTCCAGATTTACAATAAAAAACATGAAACAAAGTGATTCACATACTTAAAAAATGTTCAGAAAAATGTAAGAATACAAAACTTCAGAGTCAGAATCCCAGTGGAAACATCACAGATTTTTCATTCAGAAATGCATTGAAAAAGGCAAATAACTCATTTTTAAATTAGGCATGTTGTGTAAAATACAATAGCAAATGATGCATCCACAACTAAAACTAAATCAATCACCTCTAACATCGACATTTGAAAAGCTAATTTCTTTCTGCTCAATTTAACATCAATGCAGTGTTAAAATAATCTGTTTATTTTCATGGATTAGCTGATAATTGGAGCTTAATGAAAGAATTTCAACCAAATGAAGCTGAAAGTGACACTTAACAAATCCTTTATTTTTAATCCTAAATGTGAAATGTTTAATGCACAGTTTTGGCTTATTTGCTGCTCTGACTGTGTTTTTCTTTCAACAAATTGATTTTTTTTTAATTCTCTCCAGTTAATGATTAATTGATTACTTAGTTTTTCAATAATCAATTAATCTGATTAATCGATTCATCCCTGGTCAGCAACATGTTTGACAAAAGGCCTTATACCTGGTGTGAATCACCTCCGTGGTCCAACCAGCAGAAGGTTTTTACTCCAGCTGTGACGCCGTGTTTACTGCAGGAATTCAGGGAATGTTTCCAGTCTGAACGTAAAGGTGTGGCACACCTGGGTCGTAAAGAGCTGCGTGTTCCTCCTGCAGATCAGACCTGCTCATCATGTTGTAACAGAAACATGAACATCTGCTCCAGGAAACGAGTTCAGATCCTCAATGTGTTTTACTGCATGGAAAACGTGAAACTGTTCGATTTGACAGAAACTGAACCATCAGTGTCTGAAACAGCTTAGTGATGCAGTGTTGAACTTTTTTCACTTCCAATGTATCTGAAATATAAAAACAGCTGAATTGACTGAAAATGTTTATTTAAAAAAAAAGACATAAATGTAATAGATTGTAAATTGATTTGAAGACTGTGCTCCAGTACAGCTGATGTAAATATAGCAGATCAGAACCGACGCTTTAAAAACCAAACATCCGGAGCCCAGTGTGTCTCATGAATGGACCTGCAGACTTCTCTCTCTAATCTGTCGTTTTCTGGAAGCAACTCATCACGGCTGCTTACAGAAACCGTCAATAGATGTTGATTCAGGAGTTTTTAAAGGGGCAGAACCATGAAATCCACTTGATTTTAATGGTCTCATCAAAAACATTCCTGGAGTTTTGCATTTTGCAAAATCTTTTAATCTCCATGGCAACCATTCAGCTGTGTAAAATGCCTGGGTGGACCTGGACCGCCTTCGAGACGAAGCTCCCAACCCTTTGGCTCCTTCAGACTAGCCAGCAGCAAACAGCTGGTGGAACTGCTGAGCTCATTATAGGAGCTACTTCTGTTAAACGCTGGTAAAAAACATGTTAAAGGGTTAATAGAGGAGCCATGTTGGGATGACTTCCTGAAGGTGGCGTTTCAGAAAAGACGGACTCGATTTCAAGGTGTTAAATTTCTTTTCTTTGATATATACAACATTTTTATAAGAACTGAAGTTGGCATAGCTACTTGGTTAAGCTATAAAATGGAAGTATGAGCCTGTAAACTACATGACATTCCCCTTTAATAGATGTAGACTCTAGTTTTTAATGAGGTTTGCATCTTTGTCGTAAAGCGTTTGGTTTAAACCCGTCTGTTCTGGTTCTGGTCCGGTCTGTGAGGTCTCCCTCGGCAGATGGCCGTTATTAGAGACAATGAGGCCAAATGGGAGAACTGGAGCCCGTTTCCTCCCCTCCTGATTGTTTTTTTTCCCACTGGTTCTGAACCGATTCCTGCAGAGACGGGGCGGCGCTGCAGACGATCACATGCACACTGAACGTGAGCCGCTTTGAGTTGGGACGGGTTCTAACAGAACCTGGTGCTGGTCGGATCAGGCCAGGTTGGTCCGGCTGCCCAGTAGAATCTGAAGCAGCATCTGGTCAGACTACAGAGTATCTGAGTTTCTAAAGGTAGATTAATAAATGATCAATTAGTAAATAAAATATTGATTAATAGTCAAAGATGGCTCCTTCCATCCGACATAAAAGACTCTCTTTTACTAAATATTTAATATTTAACATTCAGAAATAATTTTTGGTCATTAAAATATTGTTTAAAGGTTCAGTATGTTTCTTTTTTTTATTTAACATAAATTGTTGTAGTTTGACCTCATATTTCAGTTTGGACAATAAAAGCTCTGAACGACGTTATGATTTATTTATTTTACTTCATATTTAGATTCCTAACCATATTTCTGAACCAGTTGAGAGAAGATTTGTTTCCAGTTTATTTCTACACGTTTACAGGTCGTCAGTTTCTTTGATTTATTATAAATTTGCTGTTATATTCCTAACTGCACTGACTGAACAAATTAAAGTTGTTTTTACATGTTTTGATCAAACTTGTGAAACTATTAGTGGATTTGACTGTAACTGGGGCTATAAGTTGTTCTTGGTCATTTTTATTATCGCAATAGTACCACAAAATATTGTGATAAACTTACCGGCTACACTTTTAATGCATAATTCATAAAACCAATATGAACAATTTATTCTTGTAATAAAATGAATCATCTTTTTTTTTCCCCCCCTAATTGGATAAAATAGTTTTAAAATTTAAAAATGTGCAGAACATGATTTGTAGGTTTGTCATGAAAACAAATTTCCGGATGCTAAATTGTCCCAAAAGTTATTGCGATAAACGATAATATTATTTTGAGAACATTTTAAAGCAATATAAAACTGGAACATTTAACACTGGAACTGGAAGATATTTTAAATATCCAAAAAAATAAACAAAACAGAAACTGATAAAATGAATTATGAAGGAAATTGTCCTTCAAAAATTGGGCTGCATTATTGAGTTTATTTTAATTTATCATTCATTTAATTGGTTTTATTGCAACAGACCAAACAATTTCAAATGTTTTTTTGTTTTGTTTAAGCTGTTGGGGAATAAAGGTCAGAATTCAGCAGAGAAAAAAGGTGTAAAGATTTTGGATCGTATGAAAGGATAGAAACCTTCTCCAGAACACGGTGAGCAAACTAACGCCCACGTCTCGTCGCTCCGCAGGAACGCCAAGAAGGAGTCGGACCTGGAGGCGGCGCTGCTGCGGCTGCGGGACCTGGAGGCCATGCTGAACTCCAAAGACGCCGCCTACACCACCGCCCTGGGCGAGAAGCGCAACCTGGAGGCCGAGCTGAAGGAGCTGAAGGCCCAGCTGGCCAAGGTGAGCGCGGCCCGAGTTCGACCGAGGCCTCCTGAGGCTGCTGCGGTCAGGAAAGGTGCACTTCCTGCCTCAGACTGGCAGAAATCCTTGCTCTGCAGTCTGATTTGTGGTTTTTGGAGCGGAGAGCGACGTTGGCGCTCGGCTTTTTCACCTGCCTGAAGCCGCCGTCGCTCCCTCTGAGTCATCACTGCATGCTTCATGCAGAAAATAATTTCCTATAATCGCTCTGCAGCTGATTATGAATGAGGCGACTGCTTTCTGCCAGTTTTATCAATGAATCTCAGCTCGAAGCTCAACGCTGTGGCTGCGCTCCACCTACTGTCCAAACCTAGGAACTGCACCTTCCTGTCCAGAGTTTATTTTTATTTTCTCGGTGTTGGATCTTTTTTCTGTCTTCTCTCCCAGCTGGACGTCAGCCTTGCCGATACGAAGAAGCAGCTGCAGGATGAGATGCTGCGGCGGGTGGATGCAGAGAACCGCCTGCAGACCCTGAAGGAGGAGCTGGAGTTCCAGAAGAACATCTACGCCGAGGTTGGTGCTCCTCATCTCTTCTGATTTCTGCAGGCAGTTTGTTCGCTTCCAAACAGCGACCGCTGGTTCTGCATCTCCTCCTCCAGATTTGCTCCCATGATGCATTTTTCACCTTCCTTCAACTGGGATTTCTACAGAACAGGATTAGAGATGGGGGGGAAAGTCGATTCTTTTTTTTTTTCTTTTTTTTTATCGTCTTCCGTTTTTATTTCACTTAAAAAGCTGCTGCTGTGACTCGCCGTTCCTTCCTGTAATGAAGTTTTAATCTTTCAGTTTTGTTTTGGTTGCAGCTTGTGAAAAGTGAATAAAAATTATGTTTAAATGTGATGATGATCTGCTTATGGATTTTTCTGCTGGAGCTCCTAAGAAGTAATTTCATCACAGTAGCTGACGGATCAGTCAAATTAAATTTACCGAGGCCTCAGATTACTACTTTTTAAATGCAGATGAGCTGGGTTTTCTCAGCGTCTCTGAATGTTTTGGGGTTTTTTGCAGGAGCTGCGTGAGTCGAAACGTCGACACGAGTCTCGCATCGTGGAGATCGACAGCGGCAAGCAGCAGGAGTTGGAGAGCAAGCTGGCCGACGCGCTGGCCGAGCTGAGGGCGCAGCACGAGGACCAGGTCGGCCTCTACAAGGAGGAGCTGGAGAAGACCTACCGCTCCAAGGTGGGAGGGCGGTGCCAGCGCCACCTGCAGGCCGTGCTGTGTCTCATTTAACACAGATTCATCACTTAGATCCAGGAGATTCAACTCGTTTTGGTTTCAGGCAACATCAGGATCATTGATGTCCTCAAACAGCAGAATTTGTTGATAAAACTAGAATTTAACAAACTTTAATTGGTACTTAAAATGTAACAACTGTTAACATTTTAACATGAAGTAATCTATCCAAAATAAAAATTCATTACAGTTTCGCAAAATAAACCAATATTGATACGAGTGAAAAACTATCACCAAAACTTATTGGTAAAACAGGAGCTTTTTCAAAGTTGGTGTGTTTCCATTTAGTGAATTTATTTTCAAAATGTCAAATGGAAATGTCTCCCCTGTTGATTAATAGATGATTTCATGTCATGTTTTTAATATTTTTTTGCGTGAATGTGTGACTTTAATTTAATTTCTTATCTAATAGAAATGGCACAATTATAAAGTTGTTTTTTTTTACATCAGCAGGACATTAACAAGGATTTACACTCATTTATAATAGAAATGCAGCTGCTGAAAAATAATTCACAGTAAATTAAAAACCTCCAAACTGAGGGGTTTTTCAGTGATAAGATGAAAGTTGGAGGTTTGTGTTCTGATGTTTGTCCTTCTCGTTGCTGCAGCTGGAAAACGCCTGCCAGTCAGCGGACAGACACAACCACCTGGTGGGCGAGGCTCACGAGGAGCTGCAGCAGACCCGGGTCCGTCTGGAGGGCATGACGGTCCAGCTGACCCAGCTGCAGAAACAGGTACCGCTTCCTCACACAAGAACCCACCGGGATTCACCCAGACAGCCGCCACTTCCCACCGATTTATCAAAAACCACAGCAACAGACCACAATGTTTCTGGGTCGAAAAGCAAACGTTAGCCACTACACTGCAAAAACACAAAATATTACCAGGTAATTTTTGTCTATTTTCTAGTGTCTCATTCTAGTGTACTTAGAAGTAACTTTTAAGTAAAATATAAGAGCTTATTTGAAGTAAAGTTTTGGTTCCAATGGCAGATTATTTCACTAACATGGGAAAAATATTATAAGTGAAATAATCTCAGTTTTAAAGTAAAGAATTACTGACTTAAAATAAGCTCCTATTTCTTGCTGAAAAGTCATTGCTAAGTTAGTTTATCTTAGTGCACTAAGATATTTAACAAAATCCAGAATTGGACAAAAAAACTTGGTATTTAGTTTTTTGCAGTGTAGTGACACATTCCTTCAGGCGCCATGATTATGAATCGATGCATAGCCACAGAAACAAACTGTTCTGATGCGAAATGAACAGCAATCTGTCACAGAACTGTTCGCAGCACCGTCATTTTGTTTACCTGATTTCTATAAAATATGTCTGAAATTAAAGCAGAGAAAACTTCAGATGTTTTGATACGTATAAAACGTGTATTCTTCCCTGATATGAAATCTATAAACAGTTTGGTTTCTGTCGAGATGCAGGAGGGGATTAAATGAATTCTCCTTTTTTTTTTTTTTAATGGTCATTTAATGTTACATACCAGTAATTGCTGCTGCAGGAGACGTAGTTTAAATACTTCATAATGTATTTTGTCTCATTTGATGACCGTTATATCGGGTGAAAAACGGTTCAATTCCCTGATGAATATCGGTGCAGAACGATCATGTGACTCTCGATGAGTCATGTGACTCCTCGGGTCCGATAATGGGCCCGTCGGCGGTGCGTTTCCTCTGACCGACCCTCGTGTCTCTGGCAGCTGGCGGCCAGCGAGGCCAGAGTCCGGGAGCTGGAGGAGTCCATGGCGCGGGAGCGCGACATGATGCGGCGCCGCCTGGAGGACAAGGACCGCGACATGGCCGAGATCCGGGCCCGGATGCAACAGCAGCTGGATGAGTACCAGGAGCTGCTTGACATCAAGCTGGCCCTGGACATGGAGATCAACGCGTACAGGAAGCTGCTGGAAGGAGAGGAGGAGAGGTGAGCTGAAGGTCGACCAAACATGGACGTGTTTCTAAGGAGGAGTTGGCGAGAAGATGAGCTCTGATGCTGCCAAACTGAGGCTTGGATTCAGTTTGGTGGGCCTGTGCAGTAATACCAGTAGATTTTCCAGACATGGTGCCATTTTATAGCATAATCAAGTAACTCTTACCTTTAGTTGCATCAAAAATGGCTTAAAAGAAATTATGCATCCTGATTTAATGCCTAGAAATTGGGCCTCTGTCTCTTTAAAATCTCCTAATTTTTTGCTCAGCGCTTTAGCACTTTTGCTAACTTTGAAAATGTTTAGCATACTTGGCTACTTTGAGTCTGTGTCACCCACTCCTACCCGTTAGCCACTGGTTAGCGATGCACACTGGTGGTACACTTATGCTACTCTGCTAATAGCAGAGCTAAATTTTAGCTTAGCTCTTTTGCTGACTTTGAAAATATTTGGCGCATTTAGCTTCCCCTGAATCAGTTTTTCCAGATAAATGCCGGATGAATTTGCTCAGTCAGGAAGTTCATCCGGCAACAAGGCGAAGCGACAGTTTCCTTCGTGTTCTGTAAACGATCAGTTGAAGGATCTCTAAGCTGTTTTTGTTGTACTCCTTCTCTCCGCCAGGCTCCGCCTCTCCCCCAGCCCCTCCTCCACTAAGGTCACAGTGACCCGGTCCTCCGGGTCGGGCCACACCAGCCGCCTGCTCCTCTCCTCCGCATCCTCCTCTGCTGCTGCAGCAGCCGCCGCCGCCTCCAGCAGCCGCACTTCGTCCAGCGCCAGCAAGAAGCGCCGCCTGAATGACAACGACAGCGAGACGTCCAGCATGGTGGGCGGCACCATCACCAAGACCCGCATCAGCCAGCAGGCCTCCGCCAGCGGACGCATCACCGTGGACGAGGTCGACCTGGAGGGCAAGTTCATCCGTCTGAGCAACAAGGCGGACGAGGTAACAAGCTGCTCTCAGACTTTACAGTCCCTGAGAATTACACCAAACTGACGAGATGATTAACATTTTCACTCCCTCCAGGATCAATCGTTGGGCAACTGGCAGCTGAAGAGGCAAGTCGGCAGCGGCAGTCCGATCATCTACAAGTTCCCCAGCAAATTTACCCTGAAGGCCGGATCCACCGTGACGGTGAGTCCAACGCCCGGCTTGGTTGGTTTTTGTTCTGTTAAAGGGGAAGTACTGTACAAAATGGAATAATTTACCAGATGCATTATAGTATGAGCTTATTGTAATTCTTGTTTCTCAAACTCAAAATTAATAAAATATTAAACAATATAAGATAAAACAAACGTATTTAAGAATTACATTAAGCTTTTTTGAGCTTCATGGTATGTTAAGTCATCAGAAACGGATTTCATTCATGTTTGAGAAATCCTTTAATCTCCATAGCAACCATTCAGCTCTGCCCTCAAGGCGCGGCTCCTCCCAGACTAGTTAAACTCCTTCAGACTAGCCAGCAGCAATTAGCAAACACCTAGTGGAGCTGCTTCTCAGTGCAACGCTGGTAAAACTGATGTTAAAGGGTTAATAGAAGAGCCATGTTGTAATGACTTCCTAAAGTCATTGAGAGAGCAGGTGCTTTTAAAGAGACAGAGGTCCAATTTCAAGGCATTAAATTATTAACTCAAACTTCTTTTAGGTCATATTTGATACATATAGCATTTTTATAATAACTGAAGGTGACATAGTTACTCGGGTTATGCTATAAAATGGCACCACCTGGAAAACACAGGTACTGTCCCTTTAAACCGAGCTGTGGTTAAATGGGTCTGAACTGTGCAGATCTGGGCGGCCTCTGGTGGTGGAACCCACAACCCGCCCACTGATCTGGTGTGGAAGAGCCAGGCGTCCTGGGGCAGCGGCGACCTCCTGCAGACCACGCTCATCAACGCCGCTGGAGAGGTCGGTCCAGATCCAACATTTTATTCAGTTTCTGTTGGTTTCAAAAACTGAACCATTTTCTCTTTGATCCTTCAACAGGAAATGGCCTCCAGGAAAGTGACACGCACCTTGTTCCAGGACGACGATGATGATGACATGGTAAACTCTTCCTCTCTAACATTTGGTTTAAAATGAGGAGCAGCCGTGTTTCCCTGACTGGATTCATTATTGGGCTGGACAATAAATCAACAAAATATATCACAATAAACACGTAATCAATATCAATAAATAATACATCTGACAGAATATACACTGAACTCTGATCCAGGACCGCACAGCATTCTGGGAAATGTAGGCAGAGGAGAGACTTTAGCTTTCCAGGCTAGTTAAGAGATTGATGGAATCAACCAACTCACTCACACTTTCGTTGCCTAGCAACTCGTGCAGTCTCTGGTTACCTAGCAACAACTAAGTAACTTGCACAGCAACAGTTTACCTCATAACTGCTTAAAAACAGTTCTGAGTGAAAACTGTTTAAAACAGGAAAAATTGAGCCACCAGTTTGGTGATATTTAAAACAAAAAGCTAATCAATAATTATTGATATTGACTGATATGAAACACTTAAGTTTTCAGCTGTATCGTTCAGACGTTAATGTCTTGGTGTATTTTCTGTACTGATGCAACTGGGTTAGTACTTATTGTATTGTTAATCATGTAACATTCTAAATTATATTATTCTAATGTATCATTATAATAAAATCCAGTTAATTCTTTTTTTTAAACTGTCAGTGTTGTCTGGATTGTTACTTTTACTATTTTTTTCCATGTCTTGTTCAATGAAAAGCATCAATAAATTTGAAATATAATTAAATGCAGGTGTAATAAGATGCGGTTTAGTGATGAAACTCAGACTTCTTTATATGATTGGAATGTTTTTCAAGATCAGTATTTGTTTGTGGGACTATAACTGCTGTGACACAGTCACTGTCAAAAGTTCCCTAAAAAAGTAGCGATAAACTTTAAACAACTCGGTTTTAAAAGAAAACTATTCTGATTCATTTTATTATGCAGAGAAATGTCACTTATTCATCTGAAAGTAGAAAAACTATAAATTATCTAATAACCAAGCTGCAGTATTTAAATATTGGAAAATATAAACATTGATGCAAAGAAATTATCCCTGAAGATGCTCGTTGGTCATTTAATCCTGTTGAACTGTAACGTCCAAAAGGTAAATAATGATCATGTTTGTTGTTTGGCGCCCCCTACAGGGAGCCCACAGCACCAGCGGTGCAGAGAATGAGTACAACCTACGCAGCCGCACGGTCATCTGCGACTCGTGCGGCCAGACGTCGGAACGCTCCGGCGGGTTGGACGGCCTCATCGGACATTCCTCCTTCATGGGAACCAACGATCCCAGACAGGTACTGGTCAACCAGCAGAACCAGAACCGGTTTCAATAAACCAGCAAAAAGCAGAAGCACTCAGTCACTGCAGAGTTTTTTTTTTTAACAAAATCAAAGTAAATTCAATATTTCAATAATGCAACAATATTCCTCGCTTCATTTAAACCCATTAACTGATGAAATCGACATTTATGTAACTTTGTGTTTTTATTTTAGATTCTGTCTGTAAAACATCTGAGGGAAATCTAACAGAATCACAGCAAAAACACAACATTTTGGAGCATTTTCCTTTAGCTTCTAAAGCAAATATCTTAGTACACTTGAAGTAAGATGAAACCAATTTAAAACCTTCAGCAAGATACAGGAACTACTTTTAAGAAAATGTTTCCTTAATAGGTCAAAATAAAGAAGTAATAGTTAAACTGGCAGATTATTTCACAGATAACATGGGAAAAATGTCTTTAGTGAAATAATCTACCATTAGAACTAGCAATTTTTCATCAGTGTTAGTTTTCAGTAAGATACAGGAGATGCTTGTAAGTCATTAATCGTTTCATATTATGTCACTTATAACAACATATAGGAATAAGTTAAATAATAGAACTACTATTTTTTCCATCAGCATTAAACAATTATTAACTTAAACCAAGTCCCCATATCTTTATGAAAAGTTACTTAAAGGTTAGTTTTGTCTTATTTCCAGTGGACTAAGACATTTGCACTAGAAAGTAACAGAAATAGTTGGTAAGATTTAGTGTTTTAGCTGTGATGCTGCTGTAGCTTCTCTTATCTTTTCACAATAAATAAAATTCTGGTGCAAAAGAATCTATTTAATCTGGTCGATTTTAAAAATTGAAGCTTAAGCTTAATGATCTAATTAATAAAGTGAAGCTGAAAGCAGCTACAGAAAGACACAAAGCCTTTCTGTCTGCTGCATACAGCAGTCACTCTGACCTCTCCCTGAGGGAAAGGCTATGGACCATTTCTGGATGAAATATTCAGTTTTTCCCTGAAAGACACAAAGTAAATCTTTCATTTTGAGCCTAAATGAAGCAACACTTTGTTAGCTGTGTAAAATTGAGCATTATTAAATTGAAAGTGCTAAAACATGTATATACACAAAACTGCCAAAAGCCTATAACCTTTTTCTGATCATTCACGGTCAAAGACTCATTCAGAAATGTCCTGTAAGAAAAAACACCCAACACATTAAAATATAAGCACAACGTTTCAGGAGGAAACGTATTTATTTTAAATTTTTTGTCATTTTGTCCTTTAGGGTGGCATGAAGCCGGAGAACTGCTCCGTCATGTAAAAACCAAAGAGCACCTCATCTGAACGCACCACAGAGCAGGATCCTTTTCTACCAACAGGATCTCTTTTTTTATTTTTTTATAAGATTATTTCTTTTTTGTATCCAGATTAATGTGCAGGTTGGATCTGCTTCACGGTTTTGGGGGATGGGCTCAGGATGTTCAGATTTCCTCTTGTTGAATTCATTTTTTCCTGCATGTCTTATTTTGGCCTCAGCTCTGTCTGCACACTCCGCTCCGGTCTGCTCCGCTCCGGTCTGCTCCGCTCCGGTCTGCTCCGGTCCAGTCCGGGCTTTCCCTGCCGCCGCTGAACACACAGCTGGCGAACAAACCCCAGAGCTTTAATAATCATGCTGTTGGAAGACTTCTGTTTACACTTTGTTTGCTGGAACAGCATCGTTTCTGTGTGTATATGCAACAGGAAATATCCTCCAAAGAAAAAGACTGTTGGCTCAGGTTTTTAAACAAACATCTTGTATATTTCCTTTAGGCGACGTAGTCGTGCAGCTGTGGTGCGTGGAAATTATGAAATTAAGCTTGCTTGCACAGATAAAGTTCAGCTTCTAGTTTAGAGCATCTATAGAAGATGGCTTGGTTTATAGAAAAAGTTGAGCTCGTATGTTTTGCTTAATTTTACTCCCTTTTTCCTCTTTCTAAGCACAGCGTGGTTCAGCTGGTCCACAAGCGCTGATCAGGCAGCAGCAGGAGCATCCGACAGTCCAGACAGGGAGGGAAGGTCAGGAAGTGGAGGAAACCCTGGAGGACTGCAGCTTAAAGGAGGCTGGCTGGTGGCATCTCGCTGATGTTGGCAGTTTTCCTTCCAACAAAAACCCAAAGTTATTGTGAAATCTTTGGGCTCCACGTTACAACAGTTCACCTGCATTCAAACCCACAACGCGACCCGATCAAACTCCACTTAAAGCTGTAGTACGCAACTTTTACTAAAATACGTTCTTTCCATATTTAATAAAAATATCGCCACATCTTTACAGTTTAAAATGAAACAAAAAATTTGTAAAAAAAAAAAAAAAAAAAAAAAAAAAAAAATCTAGTTCTTCCCAGTGGTGCCATTACGCTCTGAAGAAATCCACCGCTTCGGTCAAAACCAACCAATCAGAGCCAGGAGGCGGGTCTTGGCACCGTCAATCATCCTCATGTATGCTGCTCAATGTGCTAATGGTGGGAAAAACAATTCACTGTTACAGAAAAACTTTTTCTGCTAACTAGCGTTAGCATTCTTTGCGGGCTAAGTTGTGGTAAACTGAGTGATTGACAGCACTAAGTCCCGCCTCCTGGCTCTGATAGGTTGTTTTTGCCTGAGTTTCTGCAGGTAGCACTGGGAGAAAGCAGAAGAGCTAAAATATTTTTCACAGATGTTCTTTTATCGTCTCAACAATGTAAAAAAACAACAAAAAAAACCTTTTTTTTAATAAAAGTTGCGTACTGCAGCTATAAGCCGCTGTCTGACTGTCGGATGCTCCACAAACTGCCTGGTGTCACTTTTCCTTCTGTTCTCAACATGCCACAGTCCCTTTAGATCCAGTCCTTCCCATCGCTGGGCTGCATGTGAACCCAGTGGAACCAGTTTTCATTCTGGATGTTTAATTTCGAGTGATTCTAATATGAGAATATTAATTTTCTTTCCTGGATTCATTTGAATAGAACGAACAGGAGGCTACTGGAGGCAGCAGTTAAATTTGCCTTCAGAGGAAAAACTTTCTGCTCACATGATTCTTCGGTCTTGTGACGGTCAGCCTTCCTCCTCCTCCTCTTCCTCGGTTTGCGTCGCTCCGTAAAACTGGTCACAAGGGCTTCTTTCTTTTCTTTGTTCCAGTTGAACTCTGCATCTTTAGAAATATTTTTGGGATTTTGGACTTTATGCGCTGCTTTTAGAGGTCTGCAGTATGTATGCAAAGCAGGTAGATTTGTACTGTAGTTGGGCAGCTTTATGCATTTATACTCCATGTTAGTTTGTCAGCACAGAAAATACTTGATGGATTTTTTTTTTTTTTTTTTTTTTCTGTTTTTTCTTTTAGGCCAAAACTATTTTTAAAACCCTAAAGTGCCTCAGCGACCTCCTAAAAACACCCCATGACCTCCATTTGAAAGAGCAAAGATCTAGTTTTGACCATGTTTTTATGTTCAGATGATTTATTGAGAAGTTATCATTTTTTCAGACAGAAGAGATGTTCATCCTGTTTAAACGTCTCAAATTTTACCCAAATCTGTTCATGTCAAAGTTTTTCCTCCCTTTAAAGTGGAATAATGATTAGAAAGAAAACGCCATGCTTTGACTTGTAATTGTATTTTTTTTTCTAAAATGAAGCCAAATAAAAGCTATTTTTCCCAATGTTTTCGCTTCCTCCAATTTATCACAACAGCTGAAAAAGTGCGAACGTTTTTATTTGTATCATACAAACACATATATGTACCCACAGTTACATTCAGAAATACAAGATTACATGTTTAAAAAATATTTACAACACAAAGTACATTCAGGTGGAATCGGAGAAATAGTTTTTAATTGAAGATGTCAGATCTGCTCTGTGGAAAACTTTATGAAAAAGACTGAATATTCACAAACTTCTGGCGCCCCCTGGTGGTTACACATCCATGATCACTGCAGAAAGGCAGGCATTTCATTTCTAATGTCACTTCAAAATGCAACACTGAACTAAGAAAATAAAATCTTAAGTATTTTGGTTTTAGTTTCTCGCATGGAATAAAACTAACTTAACTAATTTTTCAGCTTGTTTGAAGTCAATTCAAAATAAAGTCCTAATTACGCTGACATTTTTTCACTCAACACATTTTTCCCATTTTAAGTGTAACAATCTAATATTTTTTTCATCTATCAAGAACTGTGGACTTGAAACAAGCCTATTTTCCTGATAAGTTACTATTTGTCTTAATTCAAGTGTATTAAATTATTTGCAGTAGAAACTAAACAAATACTTTAGATTTTGTTTTTGCAGTGTGACAGATTTTTGTAATGATGGAAATCAATTAAGTTTTGATTACAAAATGCAGTCGAATGCATTTTGTTGCTAATTTGACATTCAGGACTTTTTTTGTAATGAATAAAATCTGACACTGGCATTTAAAGTGTTAAAATCCTGAAAATGTTTGACTGCTCTGAGAATGTTAAGTCATTTATGAAAAGAAAAGAAGGAAATGTGCAGGTTTAAAGTCAGTTTTTGTACATTTCTCCCAATCGTTTGTCGGTAAAATATTTGAAGTGTGAACTCTTACAAAAACAGTTTGTTTAACCGATCACGGTAGGTAACACACCTGCTCTGTAATATTCATCAGTTATGAACCTGGTGAAAGTTAATTTGTTGAGAAATGACATTAAACATTTAATGGATGCAGGAGAAGCGCCAGGCTTGAATCCGTGACCTTTACAGCTTCAGGTTGAGAAAATGTCTTGTAATTGCAAAACGCGCCACCATTAAACGTTTAATGAAGCTATTTTCACTTGACACTAAATGAATCCAACTCCATTCAGGAAGAGTTCAGCTGGAAACGTGTGCATCTAATTAGCAGGTTGCTGGTGTGTTTGTCGTTTATTTCTGTTTGCATTAAAACAGTGATGACAACTCCGCAGCTGGAGGAAAGTTTCTGGATCCTCAAGAAGTTCAAGTTGAGAATCTGAGCTGCAGAGAATCCTCTGGAAGCTGCTGCAGTCATTCATGTTGCCACCAGAGCAGAGCTTGCTCAGCATTTGCAGCAGATCTGGAGGGTGAAAACTTGTTCCTGCTCCGTTAAGGACGGAAAAGATTCTGAAAATGAGCTGTCAAGGGTGGAAAAGTCAATGTCTGCAATCCATGTTTGGTTCTTTTCTGAGGAAGACTTCCTCCCAAGGTTGAGTTTGATCAAAAGTTAAAGGTAGAGCAACTTCTTCTTCAAAAAATAAAAAAAAAATAAAAATCCATCAAGAGTTTGGTGATTATCCAGCATGATGAATGGCGTCACAAGGCTCATAACTCAAACAGTAAAATGTTGAGTTCAGAAAGTCTGAACTGCACTGAGGATCTGGGGTTGGTTCTCCAAAAAGGTTTGAGAAAATGAAATCAACAAACTGGGATCAGCTTCAAGCTGACGGTCTGCTAGACTCGGTTCGGTTGGGAACCAAAAAGAAAACATTTGGTACATTTTCAGCTGCTCTGGTTCACTTTCATACTGCACTTTCCCCTCCTCGCCTGTGGGGGCGCTGCAGCAAGAACCACTGAAGGAAACGACATGAAAACTGAGCGTTGACTTTTAAAATTGATATTAAAGGTACCGTATTTTCAGCACTATAAGGCACACCTAAAAACCTTCAATTTCCTCAAAAGCCGACAGTGCGCCTTATAATCCGGTGCGCCTTATATGTGGACCAATATTGAGCCACAACAGGTCGAGTAACTACGGTAAGCAACCGGCGACTTCATTTTCGCCTGTAGAAGAAGAAGCGTGCGGTGCATGCTAGGATAGTTGTCAGAACGCTGGTTTGTTAATAAAGTTTGACTGACCTATCTACCTACCGACCTGATAATCAGGTCGTCTGCAGGTCATTTAGCACCACGTTCTCCAGGAACATGCTGTGCGCGAACGGAGAAGGGTGACCATTGTCTGGCCACGCCCCGGCCCAGGAAGGCTCTCCTCGCAGACCGGAGTCTGACTGTTTTGTTGATATTCACTTTAGTGCAGCTCCATCTAGTGGATGCATAACATAACTTCAGCCTCTACTGTAGCGTCTATTCTATGTGCCTTATAATGCGGTGCACTTTATATGTGAAAAAAGTTTTAAAATAGGCCATTCATTGAACGTGCGCCTTATAATCCGGTGCGCCTTATAGTGCGGAAAATACGGTATATAACTTATACAAAATATATTTTAAATATTTATTGAAACTGTCACTATGCTGTGACACCATGGTGTGAGACAATCTGTGAAGAAACTGAGCTCCTTTGCCTTCAGATTATCTGTTTCATATCAAACTCTCATGACATGATGACAGTTTTAACAAATGTGTAAAATATTTTTTATATATTTGTTACTTTCTACAGCTTTAAATACTGCATGACACCAAATAACCATGATTTGCAACCCGGGAGAGGGTTTATTTACAAGGTCCCTCTGGTGATAGAAAACTTGTGGTGAGGCTATATTTACTTCCATATGTACAGAGTTTTTCATCCACATTCTGGGCCCAATATTCCTGGAGATTGAAGCTTTTCTTTGGCTTTCATGACATTTTCAGAAACTTTAGAGTTTGTGAGAAGCTGCCGGCTGCATTTTTTATTTATTTTTTTTTTAATGTTTTCTACTTTAATGGAGTCAGAAAAGCAAAATGAAAGCTGAAATCACGTCGCAGTAAAGCTCCTCCGATGTCACCAGCTTTCCTGGTTCTTCAGTCCTGGTGGCAGCAGTACCATCTGATGGCCACTGGGGGGCTGTGCTGCCCTCACACAGGACCTTACTGAGTTTGTAGGTGAAGAACAAACAGTCTGCTCTTCTAACATGGGCCCTCAGGGAGGAGGGTGGGGCCTCAGGGAGGAGGGTGGGGCCGCGGTGCCTCTCCGGCTCTCACTGCAGCGCTCTGCGCGGGGCGGGCCGGGGGGAGGGCGGCCGGCGCACCGGAGGCAGGTCGTAGTGTCCCGGGATGTGGCTGTTCACGGGGAGGTCGTAGTGGCTCTGGGGGTCGTCATGAGGGGCGTGACCCAGGGAGCTCTGCCGCTCTGATACAACAGCAGGAGGAGAGGTTTAATACATCAGAAAACCTAACAAAATAAAACATTTCTGACACTGAAACTCTGAAATTTCAAGGGGTTTTTTTCTGCACAATTTCTGAGATTAATCTGAAAATTTTGGGCTATTTTGATCAATTTTTGGGCTTTTGAAACTCAGAAATTTCCAAGATTTCTAGAAATTTTCTCAGACTAATCTCAACATTTCTGAGTTTTTTTCCAAGAAACGTTGACTTTTCAAACTGACATATGCTTTTTCTGGAGAATTTCTTAAATTGCTACCTCTTTTTTGAATTTAAAGTGTTTTCTGAAAGTGTGAGGTTGATCTCAAAATTTAGAGTTTTTTCTGTAAATGTCTTTTCTTTTGAAACTCCTAAATGTTCATGTTTTTTGTGGGAACCTCTAGAGATGGACCTCACCTCTGCGCAGCGTGGCCATGCTGAACGGCGGCGGGCTGATCTCGGTGTACGCTCGCTCTCGAGGCACGGCCGCCTTCATCTCCATGTAGCTGCTCTCCGGGGGACAGAACGGCGGGCCGGGCAGGTCCTTGATGGTGGCGTACGGGTTCTCGCTGTTCAGAGAGCTGCTGCTCGCCGCCACCAAGTCCTTCAGCTCTGCTCACAGGCGGGACGAAGGAAAGTCAGTGGAGGTTAAACCGGTCGCCAAGACCCGTCCACTTTAACCGCTCAGGTCATTAAATGCTTTTAATGAGCCGAGGCAGGAAGGTTTATTTATAAAGCACCATTTAAACACAAGGTGGCCCAAAGTGCTTCACACAAAACCAAAGATAAAACTGTAAAACAACAAAAAAATCACGTTTTGAAACATCATGTTAAGCTATTCCCTCACCAACATGAGCAACATGAAGTGCTGCCTTGATTCTGCATGTTTGAGAAATCATTTAATCTCCATGGCAACCATTATTTTTGCAAATTTTCTGGGTTTTAACATAAGATGATTTTATCAAAAAAATTCTTAAATATTCTTAAATTCTTAAATATTCAAATTAATCTAAGTTTCTGAGCTTGAAAAGTTGAAAATCTTCTAGAAATAAATCTGAAATTTTGAGATTAATCTCAGAAAAAAAGACTTTAAAGTTGAAAATTTTCAACTTTTTGAATTTCCAATTTTTTTTCTAAGAAATTTTTCCAAGATTAATTTTAAAGTTTCAGAGTTCTTTTGATGAAAATGTACTGTTTTTATGTCTCTACAGTGGCCCTTCACTGTTGTCGTCAAACAACCACAGGTTAAAAATTAATTCATCAAGCAAAACACAATCCTGAGCTTCAGAACATCTAACAGTTAAAGTCTGAAATACAAAAAACATTCAGAATAAAGCGAAGCGGGAACCGTTGAGTTATTCCATCCAGGTTTAAAGAGATAAATAAACGTGTTTAGTGCAGTTCGATGTTCCTCTTTATGCTTTTTGACACGTCTTATCCGGCTCTCATAAACCGGTAATGATTGAGGCTGCAGGCAGCAGGAGGGGGAAGCAGAGAAAGTGCGATGATAAACTACCTTTGTTGTAATATTTTCCGAGGCTGGCGCTGTAGCTGTAGCTCCGGTCGATGCCAAATGCTCCTGTAAACCGCAACAGAAACACTTTCATTCAGTTGGTCTGTGTCAGGCTAATACAAAGCAGAAAGGCTGTTAAAATCAACAGCAGGTGGGTGGATTCTGCTGCCAATCAGCTTTTATGAAGTTCTGGGTGTTTATGGCCTGATATCAGGTCTAGATTAGGAAATATGTGGCTGGTGATAAAGTGGAATAAGAGGGAAAACTTCAGACAGATTAAGGATAAAAGTTTTTGTTTCCAATCAGCAGCAATCAGACGTAAAGTGAAGGTTTAATAAATCAGACAGGAAGGATCATATGGCTGAAAACGCCTCATAATATAAACATTTCATATCAGTCAATATCGATAATTACAGATTAGTTTTTTTAAATATCTGAAATATTGCTAAACTGATGGTGTAATCTTTTCTGTTTTATCCAGTTTTCATTGTGTAACGTTTTTTTTATTTTTAAGCAGTCAGGAGGCAGAGCAGTGAAACCTGAAACTGCTGCTGCGCAACTTGTTGCTAGGTAACCAAAGAGTGAGTCAGTTAGTTGATTGCACCAACCTAGCTTAGCTTAGCTAGCAGTGAGAGAGAACAACCTGGGTGAAGTTGAACTCCTCCGCCTTCTTCAAATATAACAAAACTCATGTCAAACTTTTCATTTAAAGATAATAATAAATGTTTCCAGAGGTCATGAAAGGTCAACCAGGCCCCCACATTAACCAAATCAGACAGTTGCTGTCAGTCAACTGGACTACGTTTGCGTTGGTTTGTGCAGCAAAAAACAACAAAGTGCAGCTTTTGCTTTGAATATATTAAAGATGACCTCTGATGACCTCTGGAATCTTTGTTTTAAATTTCTTTTTCGCTTCACAACTTATTTGAATCAGGTTGAAGACTGACTTCACTCAGGCGGTTGACCTGCTAAAGATTTTCTTCTGCCTACATCTCCCAGAATGCTCTGCGGTTCTGGCTCTCTGAGCTGGACGGACCTGAACCTTTGCGGCTCTCGTGATGCTTCCAGTCTGCAGGCAGAGTGGCGTTGGTCTCGACCCCGAACAGGCCGCGCCGCTCCCTGGCCGCGTTCTTCACGCTGCAGAACAGCTGGTTGTTGGTGTTCTGCGGGACACAAACAGGAACCAATCAGAACCCTGAAAGGCGTCCAGCAGGGGGCGAGAACGAGTGGCGCTCCACCTTGATGATGCGGTCGTGGTTGTTGGGGAGGTGCGGCAGCGGCGGCCGGTTCTGGCTCAGCGTGTGGTAGCTGGGGTTGGAGTAGTAATGATGGTAGCTGTGGGGAACATCTGCAGGGAAAACAAACATGGCGTCACTCATAATGGTACGGCAGCCTTTCAGGGCCAATAAAGATAGAAACAAAGAGCAAATTTCTTTCACAAAAATCAGATATTTTGAGAGTAATTTCAGACATTTTCTAGAAATTTTCAACTTTTAAAACTTTTCATTTTTCTTTCTTTTTTCTAGAAAATTTCTGAGACTAATCTCAAAATTTTAGTTTTTTTCTTGTAAATTTTCAACTTTGGGAGCTCAGAAGTGTCCTTGTGTTTTAGAACATTGTTGAGATTATTTTTTCCTAGCAAATACTTGACTTTTCAAAATCAAAAATTTTAATGGTTTTTCCCCAAAATTTCTGAAATTAATCACAAAATATTTGAGTTTTCTTCTTGCTAATATTTGACTTTTTGAGCTCAGAAATTTTAATGTTTCTTCTAGAAAATTTCTGAGATTATTCTCAACATTTCTGAGGTTTTTTAGGTAAATTTTGCATCATTCTCCTGTTTCATCTGAAGGTTCCAGAGGTAACGTTGAGCCCAGGATCTGTGGCCGGTGCAGGGAGGAGGTGAACTGTTTGCGGTGACGTTTCGGTTCAGACCTGGGACGGCGTATTCGGAGTTGACGGTGCGGCTGGTGGAGAAGGAGACGGTGGGCGTGTTGTTCTGCTTGTCCTTCTGCCGGCGCCGGAAGAGCAGCAGCAGAGCCAGCAGCATCACCACCAGCAGGACCAGCACCACGATGCCGCCGATGGCGCCCCACGACTCCCTCTCCCCCGGGGGCAGAGGGACCATGACGCTGCCCACCCGCTCAGACGAATCTGAAACACAGGAAGAGAGCTGCAGCAAGCGCAGCGGCTGTCCGTCACGCCGTGGGTCGAAGCCGGACTCACTGTTCTGGCAGGCGGCGCCCCAGTAGCCGGGCCGGCACACACACTCCCCGGTTTTCCTCAGACACGTGTCGCTGTTGGGACAGTGGTCCGAGCAGGAGTGGTTGCAGTGGGGGCCCCACAGGCCCTCCGGACATGGATCACTGCAGTGCGGCCCTGGGAGGCAAATAATCCCACAGTTACAAACCAGAAAACATAAAGCTGCTGTGTTCAACATTTACAAAAATATATTTTCCCAATATTTGTTAAAACTGTCACCATGTGGTGACTGGGCCAATAACAAATTAACTGTATGACAAATTGTCCTAGAAGTTATTGTGATAAACAATAAACAATAATATTGTTGTTTTGGGACCATTTTCAAGTAATATAATGATGCAAAAACACATTTTCAGAGATCAATAAACTTTAAATTCTAATAAACATTTAACACCAGAATTAAAAAACATATTAAATATCCAAAATTAAAATAAAAAAAACCCAACAGAAACAACAAATGAAATTAATGAATCTGGAAACAAAATTGTCTTTCAAAAAAAGGGCTAGTTGGGACAAACAAACACCATAAGATGTGGGCAGACGGCTGCCTGATGTTATGCTCAGTTATTCTCATTACATGATAATAATCTAATAATTCAAAATGTCTTCCAATTCCAGTGTTAAATGATTATCCTGCTGTTGAAGTATAAAAGAAAATTAAAAAAAAAAGGAAATCTGCTGTTCCAGAAAACTGTTTATCTGCCGTCATCAGTGGCCATGCTAACTAGCGTTAGCATTCATGGCAGGCTATGTTGGGATGAAACAGCTTTAGATTAGCAGAGAACAGGCAGGAGGGTGTGAGCATGAGAGTGATTGACAGCGCTAAGACCCTCCTCCTGGCTCTGGTTGGTTGTTTCTAATTAGCACAGGGAGAGATTTTTTTTTCAGATTGTTTTTCATTATTCTGCCACCACATAATGATAATTTTAACAAGTATGTTCATTTTTAATAAAAGGCACATACTGCAGCTTTAAACCAAAATAATTCTGACTTTCATCCATTCACTGTTCTTCAAATATGAAGAGAAAAGGAGATGAATGCATGAAGGGAAAATAGAAATTACACCCTGCCTTATTGTTCTACCTTATAAATTATCTGGTAATTACCAGGTTTTAGAGGCATTTAAAAATAATTTCAAGATTATTTATTTTTATAGGGGCTATAAAAAAACAAAAGAACAATGTGTTAATGTCATTATTCTGCCAGGACAATTAAGAAAAACAACAACAAAAAAACAGTGAAAGGAAAAATAAAAAAAAACTAAAATCTGTGACATTTATACAGAAATTTTCCAGTCCAAGAATACCTACATAAACATGCAAACATCTAAATATTCCAACAAAATTTCTGAGTTTTTTCCTCCCATATTTGCAACCATTCTAGCTCAGAAAAGAGTCTTTTCTACCAAATGTCAGATATTATCTGATTTGTTTTTTGGCACAAATTTACTCCCTTTTTTCTGTCTTTCAATGACATTATCAAAATAATCAATACCCACTGAACATTCTGGTTAATGTTCCATTTATTACGGTTCAAAGCAGCTCTAACCAGGTGAGGTTTTAGCTGTTTTCTGGAAGTTTGTTCCAGATTTGTGGTGGATAGAAGCTGAATGCTGCTTTTCCAATATTAAGGAATTATTGACTTAAAACTCAAGAGTTACTTGTAAGTCAGTTTCTTTTAGACACTAGAATCTAGAGTTTAGTTTTTTGCAGTGTGCTCCTTTAATTCAGCCGTGCCGTGTTGTCAAATCCGGCTGGGCCAGTTAAAACCTGTGGCTCTGTCCGTCCTCTTGGACCCGTCCTGTGCAGCCAGAGCCAACCTGGCAGCGGTGGCAGGACGTCGTCACTTACCCGTCCAACCTGGCAGACAGTGGCACTTCCCGCTGGTCGCCTGGCAACCGCTGCCGTGGATACAGTCGCACTTCTTCAGGCAGCCCGGCCCGAACGAGCCCATCTGCATGCAGAACGAGAGCCAGCGGGCAGACAGTCATCAGGGGATTCTCTCCGCTGTGGGGTCAGACAAAGCGCTGCGCTGGCCCGGCGGGCCGGGCGCGCAGCCTGTCGGCCTGGCACGCTGACGGCAGGAACGCAGCGAGTCCAAAACCCAGATTAATGCAAACAGAAACCACAGTAAACATGTCCTGTAACGTCTCTGTGATCGATGCACTGCTCTCTTTAAAAACATCAGCAAACCAAACTCTGGCTGACATTAACATGACATTTCTCTTCCTTTTAGTGAATTGGTTTGTTTGGACCTGAGCCGTGGCTCCAGTGCAGAGAGGTAAGAGGTAAATTTGAACTTTTACTGAACTCATTGCATCTCGCCTAATTTCAGGCAAAACTGCAGTTTTTCCAACTCAATCACTGTTTAATGTTTTAAATGAACAAGAAGAGTGGAAAAACTAGATCTAAATCACTGAAGTTTACAGACATCAGTTTTAATGTCTGGATTTGACTAGGCCATGTTCAGCTACTTGATTCTTTTATCAAGCAGTTTAATGATCAGATCTGCACCATAAGACAGCTTAAAAAAAGAGGAGAACATTTCCTCAAAAAACTTTTTTAGATTAATATCAGAAAATTTCTAGGAAAAGTATGGAAATTTTGGAGCTACAAAAGTTTTAAATTTGCTGGACAAAATCTCTGATATTCTGAGATTACCGTCAGGATTTTTTTCTTTTTTGAAAAATTTGAAAATTTTCTGAACTCATAAAGTTAAATCTTTTCGACTTTAGGAATTTTTTGGAATTGCTCAAACTAAAAATTTTTGACACTTGAACTCAAAAATTTCTAGAAAATTTCTGACGTTAATCTGAACATTTCAGCATTATTTTTCTGCAGATTTTTGTCTTTTTTTTCAAGAAAATTTCTTAGATTTCAAAATTTATTACTTTTTTTTGGAGTAAATTTACTCCTTATTTTTGTATGTACAGCCGCCTTAACATGCCAATTTCTATGTGGCCATAAAAACCCACCTCATCCTAATTCAAAAACTTATTTTTTTCAAAAAGCAAGAACTTGTTTTCCTTTAAACAAATTTATTTTCGTAAACACAGCTCACATCATCGATGATCAGTTCATCTATCCACCATATTTAGATTTTCCTGCATTCTTCCTGAAGGATTTCTAATGATAACTTCATTATTCCACTCGGCTCTTGCATATTAAATTCTCATTTTGGTGAAGAAATAAAGGCCTTACACCACACGGCTGGTCACAGAGCGCCCCCTGCCATCCAGCTGAGCATTTGCACGATCCGTCTGCGGGGTCACATTTGGCCCCGTTGGTGCAGCGACAGGTGGCGTTGCACCCAGGGCCCCAGGTGCCGTCAGCGCAGGGGACGGAGCAGTCTGGCCCTTGCCAGCCTGCAGGTGCAGCAGGAACGGTTAAAAATGGCAGCATGGACGTTTCTGAACCGTTACATGTTTCCTGACAGTTTCTTACCCTCTTTGCAGAAACACGTCCCGTCAACCGGTGAGCAGTCGATAAAGTTTTCGCAGGAGCATTCCAGGGAGCAGTTCTTCCCGTAGGTGCCGGTTTTACAAGGACTCTCACAGTGAACGCCCTGAAGATGTAAAAAATAAAATAAAAATAAATGCCAGAAGTCAGGGGAGAAATTAACAATTAGAAATCAATTTAAAATAAGGCGCTATGTGGATCACCGTGAATCCAGGGGAGCAGTGGCATCGTCCCGTGGCGCTGTCGCACACGCCTCCGTTCACACACAGACACGGCTCCATGCAGCCGTCGCCGTAGAAACCGTGAGGACACGTCTCGTTGCAGAACAGACCCGCCCAGCCCGGCTGGCACGTGCATTCGCCTTTCATGGGGTGGCAGCTGCAGACGGACAAAAACAGTTTCCTCCAATCACTGCAGGAGGTCAAAGGTCGCTGTTGGGTGCCGTTTGGCCCACTGACACAAATCAATTCATTTTTAACAATTTAGATGTCAAAACATGAAAGGCAGAAACCTTTCTACCATCTGAAGACATGGCAACAGCCCAGAAAGAGATTAATCATTTGAAAATCATTTAAAATGCTGCAGCAGCAGAAAAACAAACCTCTAGTTTTATTTTTTTGTTTTTACCAGTTATAAGCTCAATATCATAAACACTTGTGTCTTAGTGGCGTCTGTTCAGTGAACAATCACCCGAGTGAAGTTGTTGCACCATCTTCTTCAAATCTAAGAAGATCGGTGTCAAATGTTTGTGCAGCAAAAAGCTTCATTTGTGCCGTTATCATGTTAAAGATATTCATAAAAATAATTTGCTGAACATGGCGACCGTTAGACTGACGTTCAGCTATCATTCCCACCTCAGAGTGTGTTTCTCCTCACAGAGACACTTGTGTTCGCAGTGCATGCCATAGTTCCCAGGTCCACACATCCGGTTCCTGCACTGCGGCCCGCTGAATCCGGGCTCACAGAAACAGCTGCCGTCGATGTTGAAGCAGCGCGCGCCGTTTGCACAGTTGCACACACCTTTACAGTCCTGGCCATAGGTACCTGCGGTGCACTCCTCGTTACACCTGAAGGACGAAACAGATGGATCCTGCTGATCTCCAGAAAAAACAAGCTGAAGGTTTAGTTCTGCATGCACAATCTCTTGGACATTTCTTAGTTTGATAAGTTGAAAATTCGCAAGAAAGAAATTCTGAAATTTTGAGATTAATGCAAGAAATTTTCTAGAAAAAAGTAGGAAATTTCAGTGTTCCAATTGTCCAAAAATTGCTAGAAAGAAATTTTGAGAATAATCCCTGAAATTTTCAAGAAAATAACTTCTAAATTTCTGAGTTTATAAATGTCAAGAAATGTGAACTTTCGAAAATGCCCAACTTTCAAAACTAAATGCTGCCTGGTTAAACCTGAATTAGGCCAAATATCATTCAGTGCCTTAAAAAAACAATACGATTTTAAAAAGGTATTCTTGAACAAACACGTGATTATGACCTTATTTTACAAGTCTGCTAAAATTGTGCTCTTAGTCCATAGTTACAAATCAGAGTCAGACATGCTCTGTAGTTCTTAACCTTGTTTTTTACTCTGTAGTTCTGTGGAAACGTCTAAATGTAAAGCTGTGATTCTTCTCTATATGGTGCAATCTGAGCTAGAGGAATTATATGGAGTTTAAATAAAAAGGATATGAGAATAGAGCCTTGAGGGACCCCTGATGTGACTGTCTGAAATGCCAAGACGTCTATAGCTTCGTGCAGTGTCGTCTAAAAATGTCCCAGACTTTTCTCCAAACCCACCTGTTGCCAGTGAAACCCTCTCTACACTGGCAGCGTCCAGTTAAAGGGTCACATTTAGCGCCGTTATGGCAAACACACTCCTCGGAGCAGTTTTTTCCAAACCTTCCCTCTGGACATTGTTCCGTGCAGATCGCACCCTGCCAAACAATACTGGATATTAGATGCAAGCTGGTGTTACAGGACACAATCCAGACCTTTTATCCGCACAATCTGGATTATCGATCACAGTGGGATGACGGGAACGTACCGTCCACCCAGCCAGACAGGCACAGACCCCGTTGCCCTTGCAGCGGCCCTCGTTCTGGCAGGGGCATCTCGGCTGGCATGAGCCTTTACACGTTTTCGCACAGCTGCAGGAGTGACAGAGAGACGGAGACAGACAGTCAATGCATGATCTGGCTAAAACAGGTTGGGGACATTCCTGAGGAATAAAGTCAGTGTTTGTGTCTCGTCTTTTGAAACCATGAGTACAAATGTTGAGGTATTGATTTTTTGAATCAATGTCAATTAGGAGAGAGAAAACTTTGGTGAATTTCTGCTAATGTAGGAAAATCACAATTTCAAATTGTGGTGTTTCAATTAAATAAGAAAGGGGATTAAAATCACACGTTAATAAGTATCTTCACTCAATAAATCACTGAAGAAAACATGCATCCTCCTCCTACCACTTCCTGTCGTCATCTTCTTCACCAGTAGTAACATCCGGTTGTTGATATGACTGGTGTGATCCTAAAAAATGTTTAATTACAGTGTTGCGAAGAACACTAATTTTGATACAGACAAAAAAAAAAAAAACATCTCATCCTAGAGCAAAAATTGTATACTTTTAAAAAAAAAAATGGCCTGTTTGCATAAAGCAGGTTTAATTCCGTAATTTCAATTATTATAATTGAAATTACGGAAATCACATGATCAATTTTTCAGTTCTAATGCAGAACTGCGACGGAATTCTGCATTAGTTTCATTAGCTATATAAGCTGCGCATAGAATTGCGCAAACTACAATTCCGAAAATACATTAGCGGAAAGAAACACCACAATTAAAACACAAACAAACTTGTTTTTAGATCTAAAAGATTTGACCCTAGGATGAAGTGGTTTTTCAGTCGTATCGAAAGTGATTTATTTCGCAAAACTGCAATGAAAACATTTTTTTCGTATCACACGAGTCACATGATCAACAACCGGATGTTGCCGTCAATGCAAACCACGAAGAAGAAGACGGCAGGAAGTAGTTGGAGGATCTTGGCGCGGCATGTTTTTTATGATTTTTTGCCTGGACAAAGTTATTCATGTGGGATTTTTACGTCTTTTCTTATTTAATTTAAACACCGCATCTGCTAAATTTTGTTTTTTCGACATTAGCGAAATATTGACAAAGATTTTTGAACATGTGTAACGGAAACGCGGCTTCCATTGATGCTTTCAGTGCATGTTTTCTGTCACATCAGCCCGTTTAAGGACGTTTGGATGAAACTTTGTGAACACATCCCGGAGGTAAAATGGACACTTCAAATATTCGTAACTTACTACAGGGCTGTGTCTCATCCTCCCTGTTGCCAAGTTTCTGCTTTTTCCTCCCTGAAGTGAGAGGTGCTGAGGTTTGAAACTGGCAGGATGATGGGCTCTCTCTGTAAATGCGTTGTGGGGAAGAGTTTTGTTTACTTGTCTTCTGGGGCGGCTAAAAACTGGGCGTAACGGATGAGTCATGGAGCAGACCATCGGGGTGTCTTTCCATCTTCAAATTAAGTTGGAGAAACGCATAACAGCCCCTCATTAAAGCCATAAAAGATCCGCGTCTGACTTACCTACAGGGAAAGTTAAGATAATGAAGCGATCTGTAATGAAGCTCGAGTAAAGCGTCTCCCTGAAGAAATACTTGGAGTGCTTTAAAGATGCCTCATACCAAATCAGGAAGTAGACTGTGTTCATTTTAGCTCTGAAAATGGAAATGTTAAGATTTCTCGCCTAAAGTCTGAACCTTAAGCGCAGCCAGTCGATCTCCACCTGAAAAAACATCCACAAATGCAACCTGAACGGCTCCATAGCTGTAAATAAAAGAAACGCGGTTCAGGGGGGATTTATGTGAGGCTACAAAGTGCCTTGATTTAAAGTATTAAAGATAGATTACACCCGGTTTGGCAGTTTTTACATTTATTCACATTTACTTGAGTAACTCTTTGAAAAAAAAACTTTTTGGAGTATTATTTTTACTATTATGTAAATCTTTAGGTAGTTTATCCACCTCTGACTACAACCTCATTTAATTTGATACTTTTATCAAACGTTAAAAAAATTACTAAAAATTTTATTTAAATGCACAAAAACATAAACTTTCCATACAGTTATTGTGCAGCCAAGCAAAACGCTGAGAGAGAAAAACTAAGTGCACATGACAGTGACCTTTAGGAAACTCTTCAGCGTTACCTGGTTGCTATGGAAACTTGGTGACCCCAACACCAAGTAGGTTTAAAACAGCAGTTACTCTTTAAAGTTTCTTTAAAATTCAGATTAATGTGCAAATAATAAGTATGAATCTATTTCAGTGACATTGTTTACCAGAATTGTTAGGGGAGAAAAACAGTTATGGCACTTGGTTTTTTAATTTAAATACATTTTGAGCCCTGGAAATATTTCAACATTATTTTCATAAGTGGTGGGAGAGAAACTGCGAAATAACATTATTTTTAATGCATTTTATTTATTATTTCTGTTTTCTATGTCAGTGTATCAGGGCCAACATAGTTGGGAAGAAAAAGAGGAGTACATTTCCCCCCAAAAAACAGAAATTTTAAGATTAATCTCTGAAATTTCTTGAAACAATTTGGAAATTTTTCAGTTTGAAAAGTCAAAACCTTGCAAGAAAAAACTGAAATGTTGAGATTAATCTGATAAATTTTCTTGAAAAACGTGTAACTTTCTGTCTTTGGAGCCTTTTTCTGTTTTTACAGATGTTTAGAAAAATGTGTCTGAACTACAAAACTTTATATTTTCTGTCTTTAATTTGACTTTGCTGTTAAAGTTTCGGTATTTCCTTTAACGTGGGACTGAGGAGCTTTTCCACACAATCATCCATTGTTTCACATCAAACCCAGTCCTAGTTGAAATCCCACAGATGTTTAGAAAACGCCGCAGCTTTATGTTACGTGGTTGCTATGGAAACGTGGTGACGCCAAGCCCTTCTTATTGCAAACTAAAATGCTAACCACTGCCCCACCCTGCAGCCCAAACCTCAGCATAAAAGCTTTTATTCAGGGTTTCTGATGAACTCTGAAGGGTCTCGGATGGAGTTTCATTCTCCGATGGTTCAAAAGTTGAATAATCCCTTCAGCTTGTTTAAAAAGGCATTTTAACATTTTTCTGACTGATGCACAGAAATTTGTGTCTCTAAGTTTGTTGTTAACGTGCAGCTGTGTGCTCTACAGAGGAGGCCTCCAAACAGACAATACTACAATATATGTAAAGTAACATTTAAATGTTACATTTTCTCAGTTTTATTCACTATTGTGATTTTAGTTGGCCATTAGTTCTGCTGTGAATATATAACCAGATACATTTTCCACCACAGTGGAATATTTTGCAGCAGGTTTCTCCGAGCAGAGCCACTGGACGGTTCCTTCGGCCTTTTCCATTTCCAGCTTCAGGATCAAACCAACTTGATAGATTTCACTGGCAGCCAATCAGAAAGATGAAAATGGCAAAAATCATTTTTTTGAATTTCTCCTGTGACACAATAAACACTTTTTCTACACTGTAGAATCAGTGTGGAAAAATCTAGAAAATACTTGTCTAGACAAATACTAGACAAGTATTTTGGTCTAGTTTCTTGTGCAAATATCTTATTACACTCGAAATAAGGCAAGACTAACTTACATGTGTCTTTTTAGCTACATATATGAGCTTGTTTTAAATACATACTTCCATAATATTGATGAAAAAGTTCTAGTTCCATCGGCAGATAAATTTATTATAAGACTCATGTTTTTTGTGAGATTGTGTGTTTTGTCTTTTAACTTGTATTCCATTTTGAAAAACTGCTTTAGAGCATTAAAGAAACAAAACTGCCTTTGTTGGAAGTCAGTCATGCATCTGATGACTTTTCAGAGGGGTGAACTCTGATTTTCACACACAGGTTTTCCATTTTCCCATCTCTCTGTTTCCTCGTGTTGCTGAACTTACAAAGTCCCGGTGAATCCCTTCTGACATGTGCATTCTCCTGTTGCTTTGTTGCAGGATCCTCCGTTGCCACACTTGCACCTCTGCTGGCAACCCTTCCCAAAGGTCCCGGCCGGACACGAGTCCTCGCAGAGGCGTCCGATGAACCCGGGCGGACACTGGCAGACGCCCCTGACCGGGTCACAGAGCGCACCGTTCTCACACTTACACTCCTTCTGGCAGTCTGGACCCCAGTGTCTGTCGTCACAGGCTGAAGGACACAAACACAGTGGTAAATACGACGCTGCAGCTTCCCTACCAACAGTTTGGTTATGAAGTTAATGCAAACAGATGCACAGTTATACAACCACACATCCTTGAGAAGCATTAGTAGACCCTCCTGCACAACCAGAAAGAATGCAGCAAGTGTTTTGGTAGGGCTGCACCTAATGCAGTTTTCTGGCTAATTGCTGATCTTTAAAAAGCCTGACCTGCCGATTCCAGTTTTGGCCAGTGCCAACTGTTTTGTCTGAAATCTCGCTAAATGTAGGTAGAAAGTCTCTGAGTTGGCAACAGTGAGGTGACTATTAAGTTCAAATGCATGACCTGGTTGGTCAGTCAAACATCTCTCACTGCAGAGCAGAAGAGGACAGTGGCTGATTTTTAGATCTTATGTTGCTCAGGAACATAAGATCTGGAAATAAGATCGGCTTCACTTGTAAGCATCGGCCGATCACTGATCCCCAAGTTTCTGGGTGGTAAGTCAACAGCAAAAACACTCTTGTGTTTTCCAGCAGCCATTGTATAGTGCAAGCAGTAACAAAACCAGATGACCAGATATGCTGGAGCTCAGCTGGGATTGCTAGGTAACAGGGTGGGCTTTACTGCAGTTACTGCCTGCTGTGTTGTGACTTTACATTCTGTAAGTTTTTGAAACGAATCATTTAGATCCGTAGAAATCTAAATGGAAGCATAGAAATGGGCAAAATGTACATATTGCTTATTAAATCCCTTTAAAGCTGAAATATGTAACTTTATGCTGTAGCTAGTTAGCATAGCCACCAATGATAGCAGATAAACACTTTTACTGGAGAGTAAAACATGCTGAGAGTTTTAACAAATATCTATAAAACATATTCTTCATAAAAGTTACATACTGCAGCTTTAGTTGTTTCATAAACCCTTTGTTGTTTTCCCATGTTGAAATCTAAGAACTTGAAGATCTGTGTTATCTTTGCATCTTTCCTGCAGGGATTTCTTGGTCATTTGAATGTTTTTTTAATTCTTCTCAGTCACAGTCTGTCTCGCTCTGCAGGAGTTTACGACCTCATGTCAGACAAGCATCAGATTCGTTTCGGAAAAGCGGTGACGGACTTGGCGTCTGCTGCTCTTGTAGCAGAAAGAGGAGGATTAGAGTCGCTGTGGTGTCAGATTACCGACTGAAACACACGAGGGTTTCAGTAAAGACGAGCTCCTGGCGGTGACTATCACAGATTGGCTCTGGAGGAGTTTGCTTCCTCGCAGAGTTTCACACAAGTTTTGGATTTCAGTTCATGATGAAAAGTCCTCAGATTGGTTCAGAGCTGCATTCTTCAGATTTCTGCTCAGTTACTTCAACTGCGTTGCGTTTTCACTGAGAACACATGATCTCCAGTAACGCTGACGAAACTCATGGAGGGGCGACAAGAATGATTCCACAGATTTCAGGCTGAACAATCCTTCGTTTGGGAGCAACAGTCAGTCTGAGCTGCAGGTCATTTGTGTTCTCATCACATCTTGTCGTCTGCAGCTGCACTGTAAAAACACAAAATCTTACCAAGAACTTTTGGTCTAGTTTCTTGTGCACTTGGAAAAAGACAAAACTTGCTCGCAAGTAGCTTTTCAGCAAGATGCAGGAGGTTGTTTTAAGGAAATATTTCCCTAATATTGACAAAAAGTAACAGTTCCATTGGCAGATTATTTCACTCATAATACAGAAAAATGTTTTGTTACTTTGGGGCTGAGCCATTTCAAATCATTCAGGATAATACCAGTAAAAAAACATGGGTGATAAAATAAACTGTTATATGCTAAATCATTAGTTTTGCACATAATGTTTGCGATTTAAGAAAAACATGAGGGAGAAACACTTTTTAAACATCCTGTAAAACTAATGTTAATCAAACCATAACAATTTGTTTAAGTATTTTTATTTCCATGTGTTAGCTGATTTCAGGCTGTTTTATCAGCCCATTTAGTTTACATTTCTATTTATCTATTTTGTATTTTCTTTGACACATTTAACATATTGTGGGATTTTGTATATAAATGAATATTTTTTAAGTTATGAAAAGTAAAAAATATAGAGCTCTGGAAAAAATGAAGAGTCCACAGAACTGAACCCATTGAAAACCTGATGGCTTTTCCACCAAATATTGATTTCTGAATTCTTCCTGAGTTAAAACATCAGGATTGTTGTTTAGGGCTGTGTAATAATATCGATATTGCGATATATATCGATATTTTCTTTCCTAGAAAAAATCGATATTCATCCGCAAGTATCGTAACATCCAACTGTCACCTTGCTCACTCACTGTTTGCTTCGCCAGGAGAGTAATTAGGTCATCAGGCTTAGAGTGATTCCTTCAGATGTTAAGTGTCAAGGTTAAAAAGGTATCAAACTATTCAGAGCAGGGTACTTGGTGCACTTTATTTACTTTACAAATGCATGTAAGCTACAGTTTGTACTGTTTCAATTAAAAGAAACATGTTTTCTCGCCACTTTGATTCATTTTGTCTAGCTGTCGACTTTAAGTCTGTGTCCAGGTCCAACCAGAGCCAGGCATTGTGTAGTTGGTGCTTTTAATCAGTTTTCAGTTAAATTAATTCAACCCAACTCTATAACAGTCACAAAATGCCACCAAAATCACTCTGTCCCTCTAAAATCTTTCAGAAAATTGCAAAAGTGTATTGAATTGGATCATTTGCTGAATATCGCAATATATATCGTATCATGAGATTATTGTATCTCTACAGCCCTATTGTTGTTTCTAAATGAATATCAACTTGTTTTCTTTGCATTATTTGAGGTATGAAAGCACTGCATCTTTTTCTGCAAATAAATACCAAATTTTTGCTTGGAATGTTGTCAGTAGTTCATAGAATAAAAGAACAATGTTCATTTTACTCAAACATATTAATATAAAGAGTAAAATCAGATAAACTAATAATTTTATGAGTGGTCTCTTACTTATTCCAGATCTGTATATATATATAAAAAATTGACATCCCCACGAAAAAGAAAGAAAATGTGGAATATCATATGTGATCATTATTGAGGTATTTTAAATATATATGGTGATGTAATTTTTTTGGGCAATATCTCCCACTCCTAGTAGCAAGTGAAATAATCTGCCTGTGGAACTAGTGCATCCTCCTTAACACACATTTTTTCTAAAAGGTTACTCAAGTAAATACAAGTACGTGTAACTAGTTACTACCCAACTCTGCTAAGCTAAAACAAGAAAAGCTTGTTCTGATTTAACTTCAGTATCTTTGTATTGGGTGTATGTAAACATCTGGTTTCGACCATGACGTTAAAAGCCCAATAATCTCCGATGGCGATCCGTCAGAGTGTAGAATGGAACCAAATTAGGCCTGAAGCGAACCCCCACCATGGCTGTGGTGTTTACAGCAGGGAGGTGGAGGACAGTTCGCTGCCTCCTGCTGTTTATAAAGAATCACAGCTTCTCCTGGTCTCTGTGTGGGCACAGCGCAAAGGTCGGCTCACACCGCGGCAGGTTGAGTAATGAGGATCTCAGCTGGAGCGGATTATGTTTATACAGACGTTCTCCAGATCACTGAGCGACTCGCTGAAGGCTCTGCAGGCCTGCAGCCTCTGACAGCCGCTGAGAACCAGCGTGAGAAAAAACGGACCGGAACTGAACACCCAGATACAGCCACAGGTTTATTAATAGCAGACATGTTGAATTAATTTTGGGATTTTTATGGATTTATTTGGGCTGTTCTTTTTCCAGAGTTAGTATTAATGCTACATAAAACTGGTCTTTCTCTAATCCACACAGTGTCACATTCATACATAATATAGTCTTAAATATTTACATATGAACCTCTTGCATGTTACGCTGGAGGTCAGAAAGATGAATCTTTTACATGCTGTCCAAAGCTGCTGCGGTAGAACAATCAGCTCATGGTGGCAGCATGTTGGCGTAGCTCTGCTATGTTGGGCCAAACTTGTTCTTTTTCTTTACTTTTATTCATTATTTTTTCTGGTTTGGACAGTTATTTCCTCACAATCCATGAGGAAGAGAAAAGGAGGTTTTCTAACCAGACCAATTCAAAGAGGAGTGGCAAAAGCAAAGGAGGTGGGTTAGCAGTGCTAGCCAACAGATGATGTCATCCAGGACGTGTTGCTATGAAATATCGTCGCTACTGTCCAAATACTGAGCTGTTAGCATGTCATGATGAGACTCTCATACAGCATCAGTCTTCAGTCAGAGGCCCTGTATTTATTGGAATACTGACTGCTACTGGAGGTCGTTAACAGCATCACCAACCGCAGTGAATCTCTGAAGATACTTGGATGATCTGACATCATTTAATTCCCCTTTGAGATAAATAAAGTACTTCTGAACTGAATTTGGGAGATTTTTAAGGATGATCCCAAGCAGAATTTGCATAAAAACTCACATGAATTCCCTCTGACACAATTAATAGTTAATTATGCCCTCAGAGTTTTATCTTAAATGGTTTGCTCTCGAATATGAGCTCCATAAACGATCCTCAGTGCTGATTTGGTGAGCGGCGCAACACTTCCAAGCTTTACACCATCTCTCCGTTTCCAAAACGCATTTTATTGCTCTATTAAAGCAGAGCACACTGTGGTGTCAAACATGCAGGCAAACAGGAAGCGTCGGCTCATATTCAGCCGAAAACGTTACAGAAGAACCGAGAAGAAAACAGAGACGGAGAAGCAGAACGACAACTTAAGTGAGGGTTTGGAAGGCAGAGTAAGAGGAGAAGGAGAGTGGGGTCACATTTTCCATTTCCCTTCCCCATCCTCCCGCTACACGCTGCAGCTAATTTGAGAGTTTTGCAAAATAATGGGAGGGGAAAAAAAGAGAAAAACCAGAGGAAAGAGAAACGCAGTGTACTATTGACCCAGCTGACTGAGGAGAAAAGGTAGTGGAAAACTTCATTTCCAGGAGGGAAACATCATCTTTGGAAAACGTGGCTGTGGGTTAGAGCTAAGCGTTATATAACCGCTCAACATTCAGCCTTATCTACACGTTTCACCTCTACAATACCCTAAAAACTGGCCTATTTTTACAGTTTATTCTGAGCAGAGGAGTGAATTAAAGAGAGTTTCATAACTTGAACGGTTTCCTGGAGTGAGAGCGCTGGGTGATTCATGGCATGGTGTCATGCTCCCTCTGAAAAACCTTCTGTTGGGAAGTGATGGATGCAGAAAGCTCCACTTAGCTAATAATCACTTCCTCTTATTTATGTTGGTTTTACCCTGTAGCTGAGTTTCCATTACAAATTTGTCATTCGTTTCCATTGATCATATAATCACACGATTTGACATTTCAAAATTAAATTTGCTAAATGGAATCAAACCAGTTTTGACAAAATTTCATTTGTCGATAAGTTTTGGTGAAAGGATGAGGTGGATTCTTTGGCCTCATCGAATTGGGTTTATTTTTCTAAACTGCAATGGAAACACTTGTTTTGCACGATTTCACGTGATCCACAACTGGATGTTACTACTGCCAGAAACCACAAAGAAGACGACAGGAAGTAGATGGAGGGTGATGGAGCAGTGTGTTTTTAATGACTTTTCACGTGAACCAAACTTATTCATGTGTGATTTTAATTGAATTTCTACTTAGTGGAAATGCTGCAACTGCAAAATGGTGTTTTTTTATGTTAGCGAAATAGTAGTAGTTCTTTTTTTCATCCAAAAACAAAACTTTTTAGGAGGATTAAATTTCCAAAGATTTGCTAGAAAAAAACTTGGAAATTTCTTGTTGAAAATATTTTAATTTTTTTATGATTTTCATTTTTTTAATTTTGGAAATTAAACTAAAACAAATTTTTCTAATATTTCCAAGATTAATCTCAATATTTCAGATTTTTTTTTCGAGCAAATTTTTATTGTTTCACACTTATGAATTTCCAATTTTTCTAGAAAATTTCTGAAGTTAATCTAAAAATTTCTGAGTTTTTTGGCAGAAATTAACTTTTTTTCTAGTAAACTGTCGTAAATTTTCATTTCAATTAGGAAGTTTATTTCCTAATTGTCAAATTATGCAGTTATATGTCCAATGAAAAAGCAGCTTGTGAAAAAATTTTTTTGCAGAGAAAAAGCTTAAAAATGAAGCATGAATGAGAGGAAATGAGCCTCACAGCTGGAGCAGTCGTCGCCTCGCCATCCTTTCTCACACTGGCAGCGGTTCGGAGCGACGCAGCGGCCGTGGACGCACTCCTTACTGCAGTGAGCTGTTAATCAGAAAGAGACACATTAGTAATTAAATACATTTCATTTTTAAAGCATCAAAGCAATATAATGGACATTTATTTCTAATTCAGCTTGAGGCGTTTCAAAAGCTGCAAGGAGACGGATTACTATAAAACGAAGAAGCAGCAGCTCCTTCAGTCTTTAATCTTTACAATAATAGATAATAGAATGAAAATATATATATATTATTATTCCTCAGTGGGAAATTCAGGCACAATAAAGTTACAGATGATATGGAAGAAAAATACATTTTACCCTTTAGTCCACCTAAACAAAACTGTCAGAGCTGCTAATATTACTTGATCTTAAAAAAAAAAGAACATATAATGTTTTATAGTAAATTTGTTGTTTTTGAAATGAAGAAAAACGTTAAACGTTTGTGAAAAGAGGATGGATAAATTCTCTTTTATGGGAAAATTACAGATTAAAATGTCTATCTGCTGTGGAAAAATGTTGCAATTATTCCATCATTAAAAAAAAAACTGATTTAAAAATGCATTTTTGTTGGTTCTTTGTTTTGAGCCGCAGGTTGGGTCGGCGTTCTCCGTTACTGTTTTTGTCCTTTTCACTTGAAAATGTCAGTAAAGTCAAGATGCTCAAATTCATTTTTAAAGGCTGTAACTCTGTTGATGTAAACATTTGTGTTGTAAATGTATTTTATGAATAAACTTTGACATTTTGTCTCTTCTGAATCATGAATAAAACAAACCTGTGCGTCTAAAAGTTTCTCACCAGCTGGAAGCGACGTAAAGCTTCCTCACTAACGTTTCTTTCACAAACATTCAATTATGACCAGCAGATGATTATTCACCACAAATCTGTATTTGGCTTCTTGCATAACTCGTCAATAAACAACAATTTCACTGATTATTTTGTCCCTTTTCCTCGCCAGCGTGTGGAAACGAGGCAGATTTCTGACGTGTCATCAGACCAAAGAGGTAAGTATGATTACATGTAATTAGACATGTTTGGAATAATTAAAAGTGCTGCTTTCTGGAGAAGATGACACGTTGCAAGCTGAAAATCAGGTCCCGCCTGGCTTCTCATTTGAAGCGTTTATGTTTGAGGACAAAGGAAAAGGAGCCGGGTTGAAGCTGCAGCCCAGACCGTCTCTGCTGAGCGACGAGCGTTTATCCTCACAGCGTTTTCCACTGCAGAGCGGAGAAACACTGTTATTACCGTCCAGCTCCTCTCAAATCAGATGCTTCCACACGGAGGTGTAACTTCATATGGTTTCACTGGTTTACACAAGCCGATCTGACTGGTCTGTGGAAACATGGTGGTGGCAGCATCATGCTATGAAAGGACTGGACCAATGGCAGAAGCAGAGTTTTAATAGTTTTGGGTTTTTCATTACAGTTTAGATTTATTTTATTGTGACTTTTAGTATAATCTTTGGAAAATGTTTGACTTTTCAAATCCAGACATTTCAAAGTTTTTGTCAAGATTTCTGAGATCATTCTTAACAAATTAATTTCACTTTTTAGGCATACCTTTTCTTTTTTTTTTCTAGAATATTTCTGAGAATTAATCTAAACATTTTTGAGTATTTACTGGCAGATTTCTAACTTTTCAAACTCATAAATTTTTCTCTAGAGAATTTCTGAGATTAATTTCACAATTTATGAATTTATTTTTAGCAGAAATGTATTTTTTTCTATCTACATTGGCCCTAATATGCTCTCATAAATTCATGTGTTTATGAGAGCTTGTTTGTTAGTTTTATCAAAATAAAACTAACTTAAAAATAACTTTCAGTAGCATATAGGAACTTGTTGTAAGTCAACATTTCCTTTAAATTCCTTGTTCTATTGGCACATTTATAACAAGACATTTTCCATGTTATAAGTGAATTAATGCAACTTGCAATATAATGTCTGTAAATGTAAAATGAGCTAAAAATATAACACATTATTATTTTTATTACTAGTTCTTAGACATATCCAGATTTATAAGTAGAGTTGTACAACTTAAAATAAAAAGAAAACTTTGTCTTGTTATTTTAAATCATTATTTAATTATCTGCTTATTATAATTACTATTATTTTATGTCATTCCATATGATAAATTTACTCGAGAATTTGATGCTTTTGTGTTCTTTTTTTTTGTAACACAATGATACCACAATTATTTATATTGTGGCATCATTTTGTTTTAGGATTTTATTTTTTTACTCTTTTTGATTTTTTTCCAATCTCTAAAGAATCTTCTGCCACAGCTAATCTGTAGAAAACCTGTATAAAAATGTCTGTGTGGGAGTTGTGCCCCATTTGCCCCCCTTTTGGCTACGCCCCTGGAAGAAAAGGTCTCTGCTTTGAAAAAGTCCTGAATCAAAACCTGAGCTTTGCAAGCGGTGAAGCTCCAGTCCTTAAACTCTCAAAGATGCTTAGCTGACAAAATCTGGGTGATTTACGTGTAACAAAAGCCAAACTCATTTGATATGTTTTAGTTTGAATTTCTGAAGCTTTGGTGAAAATCAAACCCATAATTTGGCTTATTTATGTCCCACAAACTGCGCCGGCTCACAGTGGGGGAAAAGAAAAGCAGCTTTCTATGAAAATGAGATGTTTCAGTGAAAAACCACAGCAGCCATAAGCAGTTTGCTGTTCCAGCTAATTGCTGCAGTGTTGAGTGTTTTCCAGCAGATTCATCGACATCCAGACTCAGGTCACAGAATGATTCTCATCCATTAGCAGAGAAATCAAAAAAGCTGCTCTGATGACAATGTGGAAAATATTCAGGACTATTATTAGAACCCATTTGGGAATAAGTTCAGAAGGAGGGAATAATTTGTTCTTGTACCCGATCACAGGACAGAGAGAAAAACAATCTGTTCCCTGCTGACATGAAAAATATTTAGACCACTTAAAAAAACACTGAAGACCTCCATAGCTTGTATGGAGTTAAAGTTACTGCTTTTCAAAATTAACTAGTGACCTAATCTGACACATCTGGATCTGTTTCATAAAGAGGAATTTATACAAACACACACTGATCATTCCATCCAGGATTTTGCAATTGTTTTTGTGGTTATTTGCAATCAAAATCACAGATTTTTGGTGCTAATTTAGAAATATTTGCAAGGAATTTTGCTACATTTGTGCTTAAATGTGACTTTGTTACTCGCCAAAACAAACGACAAGTTGAGATCAAGTTAGGCTGAGAAGTAGAAAGAAGAAATACCACAACCAGCTAATTTCGATGTAAAAGCTAATCCTAATTGATTTAATGGTGTGAGTTAAGGTTAAGCGACATGCTGGTGATAGCACACATGTTAGCATAGTGGCTAAGAGAAGCTAAAGTGAACAGACTAAATGCACAGTGATTACTGGTCAACATGGCAGTGAAAGCTAGCATGCTATTGACAGAATTAATGTCAGCATTAGCATTTTAGCTAGTGATAGCTTTTACAAGGTTTTTTTCACACTGCATGGCTACCTTTAGCTTTTTTAGCTAATTTTATCTTATAAACTGCTGTGGCCTTACAGTTTAGCTTTTTAAGCAGTTTTCTGCATCTATTATTTCCTGTCATTTATAATTTATTTTTTAGAGAAAAAGAAGGTAAAAAAAATCCATTGAAATTGGATCTAGTTTTAAAAAATATGACTTTATTTTCAAACCACACTGGAAAGGAGAGTTACTGTTAGCCAACATTTGACTGATAGCCTTTACTCTACTATTAGCTTTAAGATGGTTTTTTTTTATACTGAAAGGAGTATGTTAGTGTAGGTCAACATACTAGTGATAGCCGTCATACTAATGTTAGCATCTGAGCTAAAATGAGATCATGTTAGCTAATTTTGATACAAATGCTGATCCTAGCTGACTTAATAGCATGCTTTAAATTTATTCAACGTGTTGCCTAACTTTAACACAAGTGGAAAACTCAATCTAAGGCTAAATACCAGCATGAGACCAACAGTCAACAAACAGGGAAAATAGAAAATAACTTTGAAGAGAGAGTTCAGGAGGACGTGAAACCCGTCTTAAACTCTCTCAAGAAGGGGTTTCTATTTACAGCATTTTAGCTAACATTAGTTTTTCAGCTAGTTTTGACCTAAATGCTAATGTGAACAGACTAAATGCAAAGTGATTACTGGTCAACATGGCAGCGATAGCTAGCATGCTATTGACAGAATTAATGTCAACATTAGCATTTTAGCTACTTTTAGCTTTTACATGTTTGTTTCACACTGCATTTTAGCAGCTCATGAACTGCTGTGACATTGCAGTTTGACAGAGTTCTGCACTGATTATTTTCTGTCATTTGTAATTTATTTATTGCAAGAAAAGAAACAAGGGGGAACAATTCAAATCTGGTTTGTAGAAATCAGAGATTTTATGTTTAAGTCGTCGTTGGTGTTGCATGAAGAATAATAAAAGTTCCACTCACGAACACATCGGCCTCCACTCTCATAGTAGCCTGGACAGCAGTGGTACCGCCTGCGGTGCTCGGTCTTCACCGCCTGCCTGTACGCCGTCTTATAGGTGATCCTGAAAGATTCCCACAGTCAGTCAGACAGGAAGCCTGGATGTAAAGACCGACGGTCAGGGGCAGGAGGAGAAGCAGAACCTGTGACGGGAGCATCTGTAAGACGTCCGGGGGTCCGAGCACGGCTCCTCCGTCACATGGTCGTAGGGGTGAGAGTAGGACTCCTTCACTGAGGTGGTGTAGCTGAAAAGCAGAAAAACAAGCAGAAAATGTGATTAAAGAAGCAGTTGGGGTTAACTGAGGAGCTATGAGGCGGAAAAGTCTGCCATTTTAATCCCCTGCTGCGCCTTACAGAGAGCTAATAAATAACACAGATGCTGTAATTTTTCCCAAAATGTTCAAATTGGTGAACAGACTGCAGGTTCAGACGTTTATGTCCCAAAAGAGTCACTGTTGTCCTGATTCTGGTGATCCAGTAGTCACACCTCAACCTCAACCGGAAAATATTCAGTTAAACGGGAAAATGTATCCACATCTGCTGGTTAAATTAGGGGCAAAACGTCTGACACGATTCCCAGATGGGCGACACCAAATGATTTTGATTATCCTCATTTGTGGCTTTAAAGGGAATAATTCAATAACCGTCCAGGATGGATTTTCAGAAAATGTTCTTCAAGCAATAAATCAGATCCATCGTCACGCCTGGAGGGTGTTTTATTTACGCTCATCAGCCCATTAACAGGTCATGAAGCAAAGGTTAACAATAATAAACCTGTCTCTAGATGAGAATATTTTTATACATTTTTTTATTAATGGAGGATTCCAAAACATACATGGGACTAAAACAGATAAAATGTATAATGTGCTTTATTCTTGTGATTTTCACAAAAATGAAGGGAAAAAAATAAAAAAAAATAATTTGTTTTTATTATGTTGTACAACAACATATCAGGGCCATTATAGAACAAAAGGAAGCAAAAATAATTTCCAAAAATAATCCAAAAATTTTCTGATTAATCTCAGAAATTTCCAATTTTTTTTTTCTTGTAAATTTTTGAATTTGGAGCTCTGAAATTTTCTTTCTTTATCAAGAAAGTTTCTTAGATTAAACTCAAAATTACTGACGTTTCTTGGTGAAAAAGACGTCTTGTTTTTCTATAGATTTCCAAAAGTCGAACATTTGACAAAAAATTTCTTTTGGAGAATTTAATTTTTAATTTTCCAGGCAGAAACTTTGACATTTCTGAGCTCAAAGGTCAAAAACTTTTGACTTTGAAACTCAGAAATTTCTTAGTTTTTTTCTGAAAAATTTCTCAGATTAAGTTGAACATTTCTCAACTATTTTTTCAAGCAAATTTTCAACTTTTCAAACTCAGAAATTTCCTTGTTTTTTTTTTTTTCTAGAAGATTTCTGATATTCTCAAAATTTCAGTTTTTCCTTTCAAATCTCTGAGTTTTGGAGTTCAGAAATGTTATTGGTTCTAGAAATATTTTTGATATTTTCTATATTATTTTGAAATTCAGTTTCAAAGGTTAAATATTTTTGATTTTCAAACTCAGAAATTTCCTTGTTTCTTAGAAAATATCTGATGTTAAAGTTTTTTTGTGGAAACTTACTCCTCTTTTTTATCTATCCATGACTTGGAAATTTCGGAGTTTGGAAAGTTGAAAAACTTTTGGCTTTCAACCTCAGAAATTTCCAAGTTTTTTTTTGTAAAATTTCAGTTTCAAAAGTCAAACAATTGTTAGAAAAAAACAGAAATTCTTGGATTAATCTCAGAAACTTTCAAGAAAAGAAGTTAAAATGTGAGCTCAGTGGAGAGAGCTGGTGATAGGAGGTGGTTAAAGAGTTGGAGTTCATTAAAGATAAATGATCCCATTGGAAACGTGCAGCTCAGTAATGGTGAAAACCAGCAGCCGTGCAGAGCGTGTGTGAACATGCCGGTGCGTTGGGCCTCACCTCTCCCACAGGCTGCAGGCGTTTGGGTCTCTGGGGTCCAGGGAGCTGCTCAGTCCAATCAGGAAGCCAAAAAGCTGCAGGACTGCAGAGGAGCTCAAAGCCTGCATGGTCCTGAGGGGCGAATGAAAGCAGAGACGCTCAGAGACGACTGCAAAACCACTCAGCTCTGGACAGTACGAGGTGAAAAAAGGTTTCATGGTTTTAACAGATCCTGCTTTATTTTCAGGCTACAATAAGAAACATCAGTGTCCCTCAATGATCGACTTAAACAACGATAATCCCTGGAAAAGTTACAACTTTCTGCAGTCTTTCAATAAGTTGGAGGAAACTTTCACTCAGCAGTGACCAGAGTTTGGTAGTAACTAGCTACGTTTACTCAGTTACATTTGCTTGAGTAACTTTTTGGAAAAAATGCATTTAATGCAAATTGTCCTTCATTGAAAGGAGCTAGTTGAAACCAAAGACTGAAGACTTTATGCATCCAGTTTTTGGTAGAGAAAGAGAAAAACGAGAAATTATACAGATAGAGTTTGTTTTAATTTATTATGTGATTAATTAATTTGCTTATAGATGAATAAAAAACGAGGATGTTTCTCGAGTTTCCAAAGTCAAACACTTTCAACTTTTGAAATTCCAGAAATTTCTTTATTTAGAAAATTTTTGACAATCTCAAAAAATTACTCTAGCAATTTTTTCACTTTTGTTGCTCTGAAATTTTCTTGTTTTTCTGAAGAAAAATTTTGAGATTAATCTGAAAATATTATTGTTTTTTCTTGCAAATTTGAGACTTTTCTAGTTCAGAAGTTACCTTGTTTCTTCTAGGAAATTTCTAGGCCCTAGCATGAATTGTCCGCCATATTGCCTGGCCCTACTTTTACCTGAGCAGCAACATGTTGAAGTCGTGCTGATGGTCTGAGTAAAATGTTTTGGGAACTCAGAGTGACTCAGAATGGAAAATATCTCCAACTGCTGATCTGCAGTCATGCTTTCAGTTTTAATTCATCATGAGTAACAATTCTCTCTCTGTGTGATTAATGGAAAGGTTTATTGTACACTGGTTCTGTTTACCAACAATATAAAGTTAAGGCTGCCCTCCTGACTATAAAGGAAGTTAATAAAAGTCGCGCAGAGGAGAGGCGAGGAGCCAGAAACGAACGCAGCCCCCAAAACGTAAAGCTGAGGTTCAGCTGCCACAAGAAAGAAGGAGAGAAAGACCGGCCTGCAGAAATGCGACTCCCAGCATCATTCTGACCTCTCTGCACCAGAGCGGAGGGGCCGCCGCGCTCCACAAACATCTGGATCTGATCAGGGAGCCAGCCAAGCACAGCAGCCCAGCGCAGGGACTCTGTCGGGCTCTCAGGGATCAGCAGGGAGCGCAGCTTTCCCCGAAACATCATATTCTGTCATATCCAAACATATCCATCATATTTGACCATATTCCATCATAATATTCCACCATGTTCCATAATAATCCATTTTATTCCACCATGTTCTATCATAATCTGCCATATTCCATCATAATCCACCATATTCCATCATCATATCCAAACATATCCATCATATTTGACCATATTCCATCATAATATTCCACCATGTTCCATAATAATCCATTATATTCCACCATGTTCTGCCATAATCTGCCATATTCCATCATAATCCACCATAATCCATTATATTCCACAATATTCCATCATCATGTTCCATCAATATATTTAGGTATTTACTTTGAGTTGAAATATTTTCTGGTATTTCTGCACAGTAAATATGTATTTAGCTAAAGAAACCAAATGAATCATATCAATAAATGCAACAATTTTAAAACTGCAGTTTGTAACTTTTATCAGAAATATGTTTCTTTACATATTTGTTAAAACTTTCAACATGTTTATGAGATAATCTGTAAAAAGATCGATCATTAAACAATTTAATCAGTTTTTTTTTTTACATTTTAACATTTGAAGCTGAAAAATCTCCCCCATTTAGAAACATTTTGAAAGGTATTTCATTATTTTCCTAAATATATAAATGCTAGCAGATTACCGTCTGCACGTTGCCAGGCATGTTTCTGAACACATGCATGTTATCCAGATGGAAACAAAGCTCTGGCTGGTAGACATTAACTTCTAATTAGGTTCTTTCATGCTTGGATTGGGCCACGGAAAGACGTTGCTGTTCCTCAGCAGCCTCCGACGCGATCCGATTCCACCGTAAAGCTCCACGGATACAAAACTACACCACCTGAACCGCATCCAGGAAGGCTGTGTTGCCATGGCGATCACCGTGAGACACTTCCTGATGTATCTGGACCAACTCAGGGATGAAAAAACCCAAAAATTACCTCAAATTAATGTGGCATCTTGACTCCAAATGTTTAGATATGGAGATCTCAATATTTACGTTGTAGAAACTTAAAACGTGTTTTACTATAATGTTACATCGTATGTTTTAGCTATTAAATCTAGTAACTAACTGAATTACATTAATAATCTGTTTAATCTACAAAAAATTAAATGTTAATTTTGAACAGCAGTAAAATGTAAAGAGTAAAGTATAAACTATGTTTAATATTTTCAAAAACAGATTATAGTTTTTCCAGTATTTGGATGCCATGTTACTATATTATGTCTCTTACAATATTGTTCTGTTTGTAGTTTGAGAAAATAAATGTGATTATCCTCACATATTGATGCTATAAAAGTGATTCTGTTTGATCGTTTCCAAAGGTTTCTGTGAATTAAACAAAAATATTCATGTTTCCCATTTTACAGTGTGATTTTTATGTAAACTTTATGGCCGTTTTTTACAGTGTATGAACATGAAAAGGAGATAGAAAGAAAACCCTTCAGATCGCCTTTAACATGAAAAACCGTTTTCTGCGTTTCGCCGGTTGCTTTGAAAGAAAACGACGATAAACGTCCGTTTTTCTTCCGCTTTCAGCCTGTCCTGATATGATGGAGTGTCGTTTGTTGACGGGTCATTTTTTCCAAACTGCTCCGGGAATCGTCGTCGCAGCAGCTCGGAAAATGTTGGCGAAGCTTTCGGGAAAAAACTTCATGATTCACTTCATAGCTTTTATAGACGCTAAAATATTTTAACACAAAGCCTCAATGTTTTTTCTACCCAAACCCACAACTTTTATTAAGCAACAACAACAAAAAACGAAGAACGAGTTAAAAATAGTCTGTGGTCTCAGATTTGTTTCCTGACGTTTTCTGCTTGTTTTGTAGCCGATTTTATCTCTTCTTCTCACTTCATCAACACTTTTGTTAAACTAAACTTTTCTTTAATTTCCCTCCTGAACATTAATGTAGATGAATCCCTCTGCCTCCTCTCTGACCTTTGACCTCCTGATAAGTAATGGCTCCAGATTAGTGTTTCCTGATAATTACCTCCAGTGCAGCTTGAACACTTCTTGACATTTCCTCCAGTTTTTGGTTAAGAGACGTTTAAACTAGCTGGATAACTAGAGGAGGCGTCTCCGCGCTGCAGTTTACGTCTCGTTCATCAGGTCTTTTGTTTGTGGAGGAACATTTTCCCTTCCCGCTTCATGCACATGTTTACATTTAGAGCAACTCTGCCTGGAAAAAGCATGGAAAATTTGCTGAAACCAGGGGAAAATTTGCCTGTGGCTTGATGAATAATTTATGGCTTTAATATTTGTAAAGTCAGTGGTTCAATTCCCAGCAGAGACGCTTCGAAAAAATGTTTAAGAATCATTTCATGTTTGTTTATTTTCTAATGGCGTTAGACGGCAGTCGCAGAATCTCAGAGGATCAGGAACCGATTCTTATTGATTTGTTCAGGCAACATATAAAACAAATAAAACAACATTTACATCTAGTTTTGTAATATTTTTCAATCTTTCATTTAATTCTGAATTACAACTTAATTCATGGTCTGAATATTTAATCCTTCATACTTACGTAAACTCGTTAATACCAGTGGAAATAAAATCTTACTGGCAGATTTAACTTAACCACTTTGTATCTGAACCTAAATGGAGAACCAGTTTAACAACTTAAGTTAAACTCATGCAGTTCAAAACCAAGAAAACAAAATAACTTTAAAACATGGAGTACAGAAGTTTTAGATAAAATATCTGCTGCATTCTCAGTTTTAAACCTTTTTCACACAATTTTCCTGTTTTTTTTTATATTATGTCATCGTTGCACTCAATTTATTCATCTATCCATTAATGCACTTAGTGTTTTTTACACCGAAAGCAGGAAGTTTGTCATGTTATTCAGTTGCATGGAGGTTTTAACTAAAATATTTGCTGTGTCGTTTGCAATTTCAAACCTTTTTGAATGTAAAAATATTTAAAATGTCCACCTTTCATTCATTCTGTTATCTAACTGCAGCACTAATGTGATGATTTCTACACACTGGATCAGTTTTTCAGTCTTTCTGCATTTAGTTTGCATCTATCCGACTTTCTGACAGCCAGTTTGTAGTATAAAGTCGTGTGATTTTATTCAGTTTGTTTTTGTGGAGCACATCTGAAGGTGTTTGCTGATATTCAGCCTCAGATGAAATGCGGTGATGAATCATGAGCAGCTTGGCTCGTGGTCCAGTGACTGTGATCCGGGTCTTCGGTTCTTTGTGGTTCTGACTCAACAGGAATGTTGTTCGTCACAAAACTCCGACCACAGACAATGTTCACTGATCCACCGCAGCATCACGCCTGTTTCCCATCAACCACTGGGGCTCATCTGCCGAGGGTCAGGGAGTTCATAACCGGCTGTCCAGCAACCAATCAATCAATGAAGTTTATTTGTTAACACATTTCAGCAATAAAGCAGTTAAAACTGATTTGCATCATAAAAACACAAGAAAATACAAAATAATCAAAAATTGAAGCGTTAGAGTTTTAAAAAAAAAATTTTCTCACATGCTGTTTTTATTTTAATTATGTAAAGCACTTTGAAATGCCTTGCTGCTGAAATGTGCTATACAAATAAAATTTGATTGATTGATTGATTTTGCCAGGATCGTCACAGATCAGATTATTGATTAATGTTTCATTTACAATGCTTCAAAAGCAGCTCTAAACAGCCGGGTCTTTAGATTAAAGGATCTCAGTGTTTTGGCTGTTTTTTAGTTTTCTGGAA